TCCGGCCCCGGCGACGCACGGAAGCGCTGGACGAGGCCTCACTTCCGGCTGCACGGCCGAATCCGGCGCCAGCTGCCCTGCCCAGCTTGCCGGACCTGGAGAGCCCTATGGCCTTTAATTAAGGCCATGCGTTTCATGTCTCGTCGGGCACGCCTGCAGGGCTGCCGGTATATGGCGGCGTCATGACCACCATGTTCCCAACGTCAGAAGGGATGCCTTATATTACAGAGCCAAGGATTGTGAATCAATGCAATACACCATTGGTGCAGTTTTAAACGTTGGCGCCTGAGCCCAGAGGACTCATCATCCATGACCCCGATGAATCGGGCACAGGGCTTCTCCCCAACATGGAACTCGGGGTCACAACTGCGCAGGGATATGCATGCGTATACGAACACTCTAGCCAGATTTCCACACCGAACCTGGTCTGCCCGTGTACACACACACACACACAGGGCCTCTTGAGCGCACAGACGTCGCGCGGCTGCCAGTCCAGAACCGATGCATAGACATCGGGCCCATGCCCGGCACCAGCCCCGGCCCACGGCGCTTCCAACCGGGCGGCAGCTGATGCTCCATGGCCAGCCCAGGTCCACAGACCAATCAAAAACAGCAAGATCGAGCAGCAATTTAAATTGCACGAGCACGCAGTGGCAGATATCACGCAAAGCCCGACTTGCAAACTCACTAGCATCAAAGCACAAGCCCATCTTGCAACTAGCAGATCAGTCCTCACGCACGATCTGCGCGGCGATCATCGCGAAGCATCGAAGCCTGGCACAAGCCCAACTTAACTTGCAACTAGCAGCTAGCATCAGACCTCATGCACGTTCTGCACGGCGATATCATCACGAGGCGTCGAAGCCTGGCAGATTCAGCAAATGCAAAATCGATCACGCAGGCAGCATGCATGCACACCGTGCGCTTAATTAAGCAAGCCGGCGCGGCCAGCTGCCATCATCCGGGCGAACCCGGTCATGACAGGGCGATCATGCGTGAAGGCAACATGCAATAGACGCGCCGACCTGCCCCCCCCCTGCAACAAGTCATCATGTGCATGAAATTGCGCGCATGTGTGTACGTGTGTGTATATAGTACAAGTTTCAAAAGGTTGCGTGTGTATAGTTGTTATGTGTTTTGCGATGTCGGACCTTGCAAAACTGTAGCAAAAGCCCGCCTGTTTTGATTTTGTCTTTTTTCGCATGAATTATAAAATACCAAAGTTGGCGCGCAACAAGAAAGGCCACATGGCCATTTTTTCGGGCGGCCCCCGGCGCGCGTTGCGAAAAAAAGGCCATGGCTCCAAAATAAGGCCATGGCCTTAATTAAAGGCCATAGGGCTCTCCAGGGAGCACTCAGCAAAGAACTCCAAGAGCCAAGCGCTGCCCGGGTAGAGAGGTTCAGCGCCCGCAGCCGGGGCTCCAAGATCACATCCTGCCATTGACCCGCCGCATCACGGCCGAAGGACCACAGGGCACGAAAAACCGCTTTGATCTGCTCCTCGCTTCGCGCCTCATCCTTGTGTTCAGGTTATTGACAATTGAGGACCCGGAGTTTTTTGAAGAGATCGCGCTCCTCCGCCTTCTCCACGAGGATCGAGGGCACCTCGAGGTGGCGATCCATGTCCTTGACGGACGTCAGCCACGCGTCCAGTGTTGTGGCTAGCTCAGACACGCCATACTCCGATCTCCGGCACAGCTCAGTCTTGTCCGCCGACAGCCCGGCGGCCAGCAGGGCAGGGTTCTTGAACGTAGGCACATCCGTGTCTTTGGTAGCACGCCGTCTGGCATCGGAGCTGCCATCTGCCACCTTCTTCGGCGCAGATATGTACTGCTGCATGGCACTGTGAGAAACTATGCTCCAGTTCGGCACGCCGGCGTAAGTGCGCGCCTTCCTTTCCTGCTCCATGGCATGGGCACCTACGTTGGCGGAATGCAAATCTGAAGGCTGGTGGACTTGATCCGCCCAAAGCTGTGGCACAGGATGCATGCTGGAAGACAGGGCTTCTCCAGAGGGGCCCATCGAGTGACGCAACACTACACAGCTCCTCAGCAGCATCCATAACCATAGCTGAAAAGTCGTCTTCCTGCAGCTGACGAGTGAAGGCTCTCTGCGCAGAAAGACTGGCTGCACATTCCTTCAAGTGAGCCTGGACGCTGCTTGCCGACCTCCGTGCTCACACCATAGAAGGAACGCCATTCCAACTCTTGACGCAAAGGAAATCCCAAACGCATAGATTACTCGACTAAACACCTCCGGGACGCGCCTCTTGCGGGAACCCGACAACTTCCGGAGCGGCCTTGCGGCCGCAACGGATGCCTCCGCCTCCCGCAGGTGTATATATAAGTATACGTGTATACATGCAGCAGAACAGCTTCCACCATGCGACAGAGCAGCCGCTGCGACTGCGCCATGTTGCTTCTTCCAGTCCTTGCTGTCGATCAACAACATTTACAGGTTTGGATGCATTCTCCCGCCCAGCGGCCGAAGATCTCATGGCAGATGGCGCCGGCAAGTCTAGAGAGTGTGGCCATTCCACGTCACCCCTCCGCTGCATCAAGCACACGCCACCACCAAAATTGTTAGGGTTTAGGGCAACTCCCTCAAGTTCCACCTTTTATGTCGAACCCTTGTGAGCATGCCCCTTGACTTGAGAGACTAGGGCCTGGGGTTTTGGGGCTTAGGGTTTAGGGTTTATAAGGATTGATAAGTTAGGGTCTGTAAGGGCTTTGGGCTTCTAGCGAACCATGAAAACGGCCCCTTCAGGAACCTTCAGGAACCAGGACCTGCGCGGCGCCCCGGTTTAGGGCAAAGTCAGGGTAGCCATGGCTGGGAATTTAGGGCTTAGGATCCATGAGGGTCGAGTGTTCAGGGTTCAGGGTTTAGGGTCTAGGGTTTAGGGTAAGGATTGGGGGCTGAGGTTTGAAGCCTTTGAGACTTCGGCACGCACCAACCGCCAACCACCAAGCCAGGGAGGGGGGGTGGAGGGGGTTTGAAGTCTTTGGGGCCTTTTGTTTTCGCCTCCGAAGAGGCTTTGGGTTTGCGGGGCTTTAGGTCTAGGATTCAAGGTATGGAGGTGGCTCGGAAGCCTCAACCCCTAAACCCTAAACCCTAAACCCTAAACCCTAAACCCTAAACAGTCCTCTGCGCGCGGGCGCACAGCGCCGCGCTGCCCAGGGCGGCAGCGGACATCTCCACGGCCTTGCCGTTGTCAAGGGGCTCCCTTGGGTGTAGGGTTTAGGGTTTAGGGTTTAGGGTTCAGGGTTTAGGGTTTAGGGCTGAGGGTATTTGGGTCCCTTGTTGTGTAGCCCTCCGATGCAACCTGGACTTCGGACTCGGGGGTCGCGCAACCCGTCTAGGGTGGATTGGGGGCCCCTATGACAATGAAATTTCCGAAGTGCAAAAAATGGGTTGCAAAAAGCCCAAGGGCATAGAGACTGGAGAGCCCGGTGACAAGACTGAACTGACTGAACCGTGCGACCTGGAGCCCTCAGCCCTGGAGGCCTAAACCTCAAACACCGAAAAGCCTAAAACCCTAAAACCCTAAACCCTTAAACCCTTCCACCCCAAAACCCTAAAACCCTCAACCCCTCAACATATTGACATCGAAGACAGCAACCCCCATCCAGACCGGTCTACGTAGACTTGGCAGAGGGGGAAGCTGCCCAAAGGACTCCCCCATTGCACCGAACGCACACCTGGCCTTCTACACTCAAGCCATCTCAAGCCCTAAACCCTAAACCCTAAACCCTAAGCCCTAAACCCTAAACCCTAAACCCTAACAACCTCAAGACACCTAAAGCCCGCAAGCCCCAAAACACTCTCCTTTGAGGAAGCGCCGCCTCCAGCAGCGAGGTGGCGCTCAGCCGGGGGGTTCTGTCGGCGGCCTTGTTCATGTGTTCAAGGATATGAACACTGGGGTTTAGGGTTTAGGGTTTAGGGTATAGGGTTAGGGTATAGGGTTTGGGGTTTAGGGTGAGGGGTTTAGGGTTTAGGGTTTAGGGTGTAGGTTTTAGGGTTTAGGGTTTAGGTTTTAGGGTTTAGGGTTTAGGGTTTAGGGTTTAGGGTTTAGGGTTTAGGGCATGAACACTGGGGTGCTCTCCCAAATATGTACGGACTACGCAGGGTGACATGGGATCAGGGCCCGAATGCCATTCGCAGCTGTCTCGAAATCAACCCCACAAATCAGGAGGCTGCAGGGTTTCTGGTTGAGGGCTTAACCTAGACCCTAAACCCTAAACCCTAAACCGTAAACCCTAAACCTTAAACCCTAAACCCTAAACCCTTTCGGGGCTCAACCTGCCGAAGCCCCTGAGCCCCTATCTAAGGGTAGTTACATGGTCCCTTCGTATGGGCCTTCTAAACAAGGGGGCCCCTTACACGCCCCGCATCTACCCTATAAAACCCAAGGGCCCATACTTCAGAACCCTTTAAAGAATGTACGGGACCATATTCAGGGACCATGAAACTAGCCTCAACCCTAAACTCTAAACCTTAAACCCTAAACCCCTCATGTCACCTCCCCCCTACTCCCCAAGAGGGCTATGAGCTTGGACCTTAAAGATTCAAAGGCCTAAGCCCTAAACCCCAAACCCCAAACCCTAAACCCTAAACCCTAAACCCCAAACCCTAAACCCCAAACTCTAAACCCTAAACCCTAAAAGGCTCAGGGCTTCCAGGCCCTTGCAGAGCAGATTTTTCGGTGCAGCGGCCGGTCTCCGAAGGCCTTTCGGCTTTGGGGTTTAGGGGTTTGGGGTTCCGGCCTTAGGACCTCAGGGGTTAGGGTTTAGGGTTTAGGGTGGAGGGTTTAGGGTGAGCTTAGGTGGGCTAGGTATTAGTACGATGAGGAGATTAGAGCCCCTAAACCCGAAAACCCTAGACCCTAGATCCTAAACCCTAAACCCTAAACCCTAAACCCTAAACCCTAAACCCTAAACCCTAAACCCTAAACCCTACTAAAACCCTAAACCCTAAACCCTAAACCCTAAACCCAAAGCAGTTCAGAGCTTCGCTTCCATGGAGGTCAGAGCCGCTGCCAGGGATATGGGAGGCCGGCCCATCCTAGAGATTTAGGGTTTAGGGTTTAGGGGTTTAGGGTTTTAAGGGTTTAGGGGTAGTGGTTTGGGGGCTTAGGGTTTAGGGTTTAGGGGTTTAGGGGTTCAGAGAGCTGGGGAGACAGGTTCCTGCTGGAACCCTTTAGAGGATTCTTTCATGGGGATGATGAAGCGCGCTCTCCTCTGAATGCTGGGCTTGTCGGGTCTCGGACTCCCGAGTTCAGAGTTGGAGGCTTGCAAGTTCAGGATGTAGGGAAAAGAGACGCTCCTCCAAGGCTTCTGGGTCGAAGCTCTGAACCCCTAATAAGGGGACCGGGGGGGGGGGGGGGGGAGGAAGAGCAGCCAACGAACATCTCAAAACTGTGAGCAGCAACTATGGAATGCTCCTTGACCTTGGTTGGGTTCGCGCATTCGGGCTGATGGCTCTCAGGGTTTTGGGATTCGGGATTAGGGTTTAGGGCTTGGGGCTCAAAATCCCAAACCCTGTAGAGCCTTGCTTGCAATCAGCACAGCCACATTGCTTCGAGGCGAGAGATGTTCATGGAGATGTCGGCAGGCGACGGTGTCGGCAGGCAGTAAGTAGAACCTGTCTTGTCCCTAAACTCCAGAAACCCTGGACTCTACACCCTTCGGGAGTGCGAGCACTGTCTGGTATGCTACTCAGAAAGCGCATAGTAGACAAGCCCAGATTAGGTCGACCCCCATGCACCGCAAAAAACTCTAAAGCCCTTTCATTACTCCTAGGCGCGTTCCGTATTCACCCAAGGATGACCCTACAAACGCCCCAATCTCCTGTCAGCAATCAAGCCTGAGCCAACCACTCTTGCACCTAGTCATTCAACTAGGAAGGCTGCGGCTGGTTTAGGGGTCTTTAATTGGAGGTCTTTGAAAGAGCACCCAAACCTAAACCTTTTCAGGCACGACGCCTCTTGCCCGCTCCTCCTCGACGCCGACGTGCCGTGCCACAGCGCGGACGAAGTCCAGGCGGGATAAAGCCTCAGGTCCTTCTGTAAGATTCAGGGTTTAGGGTTTCGGGTTTAGGGTTTCGGGTTTCGGGTTTAGGGTTTAGGGTTTAGGGTTTGTCCTTCTGTGGGAAGCGTTTCGTATGCCACCTTTTGTGCTGGTGGACTATGTTTGGAGGGTGGGATCTACAAGTGCCAAAGCGCTTTACGCTTCAGGGTATTGCCCTACGCCCTAAACCTTCAGGGCTAACCAAGAAGCCAAGCCGGTCCTCCAAGGTTTACAAGTCCAGTGAGTCGGCCCTGCAACAGCGCGCATTGTCTGCATCATTGGGGGTTTCGGGGTTTCGGGTTTGGGGAGGAGGGGCTTCCGGCCCTTATGTGCGGATTGGGAAGTAGGAGGTTGGCACCCTCAACTAGAAGCATCAAAACAGCATACCCCAGAAAGGGCCCACAACCTGCAAAGTTGCCTTGTGTCCATCTGAGCAGTTGCACATCTTCAGAAAAGCTTGCTGATTTCTGGAAATCGTCCAACAAATTTTGTGAGATCCTATATCCTATCGAGCCTACCTACCCAAGGGTGCAGGGCTCAGTTCCTGCGACTCCTAAAGCGAACTTACAAGCGAGATGATCGAGTCCAGAGGTCGAGAATGGTCAAGAGCAACGAACGCCTCCTTTAAGGGTTCCGGGGCGCGCTCGGCCCGTTGTGTGCTAGCCCCGAACCCCTAAACCCTAAACCCCAAACCCTAAACCCTAAACCCGTAATGCAAAATGTGCTATAGGACGTAGAGGGCTCACAAAGCTCTTGCACCTGGACGGCCATGCGCAGCGCGTCTACAACATCGTCGATGTAGATGCAGGAGCGGATCCTGGCTCAGTGCTTGAAGGTTCTAGACTTAGGCATGAGGCTTCGCGCGGTTTGGGATTGAAGGGTTTAGGGTGCGAGAAGGGGAGAGCAAATGGAGGTAGAATCCCGTCTCTGCGCAGTCCGTCTCAACCATGACTCGCTGGAGATCGCTGTAGACTCCGTAGAACTACGTTCGCAAACAGAGTGCGTCGAAGACATCTCCCATGGTGATGGAAGTAGCTGCGAAATCGCGAGGACTACGATGCCGAGGGGAAGTAAACTTAACCCCTACTAAGGCACGTATTGGTCCTGATTCAAGGTGTATTTATTGTCGCCCAATTTGGCTTTCGAGTTTACCAACGGTTGGCGAGGGGGGAGGAGGCACTTCGCCTGGCAAGCTTTAAAGAGTTTGAGTTGAGGGATAAAGAAAGCCTTTTGGCTCTGTAGGGCTTTATAGGGACCAGGTGTGAGGGCTTAGAGCTTCAGGGCACCAAAAACTAAGGCCCCCCAAGGGTGTGCCAGAGGCGCTGATCCGTGAAGGCGTCGAAAGGCTCACCAGACCGAAGTTTGTCCAGGGCAAACTGGAGGAAGGTGCTGTGCGCCCCCTCAACCGTGGGCCCGTAGACGAACCTGACTCCCAAAAGCCCCGAAAGAGAGCGCGTCGCCCAAGATGATTCATAAGTATGGGTTTAGGGTCTACGGTTTAGGGTTCAGCGTTTAGGGTTTGGCAGGCAAACGCATGTAGGGAATCTGGGGGCGAGGGTTGCGGATGTCGGGTCTGGGGTTTCGGGCTTTGGGGGCGGGGGGGGGGGGGAGGAGTTTCGGGGTTTGGGGTGGCACCCCAACCCTCAAGGTCCATGTACCTTTATACTATATACTTGGGCCCTAAAGTTACTTTTGCAGGAACCCCTTTTAACCCTATTGAGGGTCCATGTACCTAGCAACCCCTTTAGGGCTTAAGCTTAGGGTGAGCCATCCTGGGTGACCAGGGAACGAGAGCCGGAGAATGGCGTGGCTGGGAAAGGCATCCCGGACAACCTCGTGAGCTATTTAGGGTTTAGGGTTTAGGGCTTAGGGTTTAGGCTTTAGGGTTTAGGGTTTAGGGTTTAGGGCTTAGAGTTGGGAGTTTGGAGTTGTGGGACTCTCAATATAGGGCTTAGGGTTTCGTCGGGGCTTCTTGCGGCTTATTGGCGTTTTTGCTAGGGTTTATAAGTTTGGTAGGGTTTTCAAGGGCTTTTTGGGGGGTTTATTAGGGTATATGAGTTTATTGGGGTGTATTCGGGAATACTCGGGTTTGTTGCGGTTTAGGGCGGTTCAATGCTTGCAGTTTCGCACTCTTAAAGGTGTAGCAGGATTGTACTGTGGAGCTGGGTGCCAATTTCCTATGTGGGAGGACCCCCCTCGCAAGGAATTTTACTGCAGATATGGGGTGGATCTCAATTATTTGATCTTTGTCCACCCAGAGGACTAGGGCCCCCGTGCGAAAAATAGGTGGCCCTCAAAGCCTAAACCTTAAATGTCCCGGTAAGTGGACAGAAATCTTGGTAGGGTTTTCAGGGGCGGCGGGGAGGCGGGGCCTCAGAGGCTCAGAGAAGCCAGCCTACCACTACCAGTTTAGGGTGTAGGGTTTAGGGTTTAGGGTTTAGGGTTTAGGGTTTAGGGTTTAGGGTTTAGGGTTTAGGGTTTAGGGTTTAGGGTTTAGGGTTTAGGGTTTAGGGTTTAGGGTTTAGGGTTTAGGGTCGGAGGGGGAACTTGCGACCTGAAAGCGTCCTAGAGGCTGCTCATCCCTGCACCCCACGGATGCTTGCGCAAGCAGGTTTGTAGGAGTTTGCGGCAGAGGCTAAGGCTTAGGGTTTAGGGTTTAGGGTTTAGGGTTTAGGGTTTAGGGCCTAGGGTTTAGGGTTTAGGGTTTAGGGTTTAGGGTTTAGGGTTTAGGGTTTAGGGTTTAGGGAAAAGAGGCTCTAGGGGTTAAGGTTTCGGGGGGAGGGGGGGGGCGGCTTCAGAGTCTCGGCTGGAGCACTTCAAGCCTTCAACCCAGCGGTGCGCAAAGTTCACCCCAAACCCAAAACCCCAAAGGCTTAAAACCCTGCAGCCCGTAATCCCTAAAACTGCCTAGAACCCTAAATCCCTTCCGTCATTTAAGCCCCTCCCTCTGGCTGGGTTCGGGTCGCTTGCGGAAACTGGGCGTGGTGGATGTTGGGTTTGGGGTTGAGGGTTTAAGATTTAGGGTTTCGGGGTTTCGGGGTTCGGGGTTTTGGGTTGAGGGTTTAGTTGCTTGTGCACAAAAGCTTAGTGCTTCTCGGGTTGGCTTGAAGGCGTTTAGGGTTTGGGGCTTTAGGGATCAGAATGGGAATTAGAGGCTTAAAACACCTTTAAGCTTGCCTTGAAATCACCTGAAAGGCTCCGCTAATCATCAGACAAGCCAGGCAAGTAAACCCTAAACCTAAAGCTTCAATCACCCCGACCCTTCGCCCGCAACACTCAAGCTGACGAAACAGCAGAAAGCATGCCAACTGCCGAGGGGCAGATTCCATCTCCAGCTTGGTCTTTCCATAAACCTGGCTACCCCAAAGGATGCATTCAGGACGGATTCGTAGGCTTGAGGGTTCACTGTTCAAGAGTTCACGGGAACCCTAAACCCTAAACCCTAAGCCCTAAGCCCTAGACCCTAAACCCTAAACCCTAACCCCTAAACTCCTAAACCCCTAAACCCTAGGCGTCTACGGTTGTTTGCGAAATAATCTCGGGACCCAAAACGAGAGCCAGAAGACATCAAAATAGCAGCTGTGGGGCGCAGTGCCTCTCTCCAAGTCCCATCTTGAAATGAAAGGGTTTCGGACTTCCGGGCTCTAGGGTTAGGGCTTCAGGATTGAGGGACTTAAGGGTTTACATGCGTTTAGCGGTTCAAGGGTTTAAGCATCTAGATCTGCAGCTTGTCTTCGAACCCGCTCTAAACATCTGAGTGTTTGGCGTCATGCTAAACCTGTTTCGTGTCAAGTGCTGCCAACACAATGCTAGCTGTAAATATAATCGATTGGGGTTGAAATGATAATGACCATGGCGCTGCCGACAAAAACGTCGCGATAACTGCCGCTACAAGTACTGGCAGGTGATGGAAAAGATGCGAAAGCGTAGAAAAGAGTATGGCAGGCGCAGTGCCCTGGCACACTTGCCCTCCATCACGTCTTTTGTTTGACTGCAGATTGATTTGGTCTGCAGTGGCACTCTAGAAACCATCTACAAAGTTGCGTCCCGATTTTGGTCACACAATAAGACCACCTGACGCCGTGGAAACGGACAACTCACTGTGCCTACCACATTTTCCCCAATCACGCATCGCGCTTTCAGGTATCTTTTCAACAGGGGCGCCTAGCTTTGGGGCTGGGCTTAAATTGAAAGCTTGAGCAACTACACAACCTGGATCCTACCGGTACAGATGAACTGCACATGTAGGTGCACTGCAGAGACATGACAAACCGTGTCGCTTGGACTTCCCCCTGACTGCTTCGCACGATAAGAAACTGAAGATGTACGGAAGCCATGCTTTGCCAAACCCTCAGCCCCGATTCAGCCCTATACCTGGGGATGTCCCCCCTATACTAGCAGTCCTCAATAGTGATTCTATTAGGGGTAGCTCGACTCTTAGTATAAGGGGAACAGCCCAACCCTAAACCCTAAGCCATAGAAGTCCATGTCCAGGCAACGTTGACCGGGCGTCCGTCTTCTTCCTCGGTTACAAGATGTCCTTTCGCAGAAGGGCGAAGGTGCAAGCGACAAGGAGTTTGGGGGCTTTGAGGGTGTTCGTTGGGATGTTGCCCCTTACACTAACACTCCTTAGTAGGAATTATCGTAACCCCCTATTATAATCCCTATTAAGGACTGTTGGTTCAGGGGGAAAATACCACGGTGTTCGTGTCTCCGAACAAGCTGGGGTCCGAAGGCTTGCGACCTGAGACATGGCCCAGCTTGCAGTCCTTTGAGGGTTTAGGGTTTAGGGTTCAGGCTTCAGGGTTCTGGGTTTAGGGTTTAGGGTCTAAGGTTTAGGGTTTAGGGTTTAGGGTTTAGGGTTTAGGGTTTAGGGTTTAGGGTTTAATCCGAGACCTGCCTCACGCTCGCACTCCGAAGCCTTCAACACTGGAAAACTTCACGCAGAAGAGCCTAGTTCCTAAACCCACCCCCCACGCCACCCCCCCTAACAATAAAAAATCAATCAGCCAATCAATCAATCAATCAATCAATCAATCAATCAATCAATCAATAAAACAAATTGAAAAAATCAAAAAATGCGGTCCTTTGCCATCGTAAACCTGGTCGGTGGAGAGGAAGATGAACCTGGCTCAAGGCTTTCGGGCTCGTGCGGCACGGCTTGGAAATTCTACAAACCCCCGCTTTCGATCACCAAATGGCGCTGAAGACGATCAGAGTTAGGGTTTATGGCTTAGGGCTTAAGGCTTAGGGCTTAGGGCTTCGGGCTTAGGGCTTAGGGCTTAAGGCTTAGGGCATAAGGCTTCGGACTTAGGGCTTAGGGCTTAAGGCTTGGGGCATAAGGCTTCGGGCTTAGGGCTTAGGGCTTAAGGCTTAGGGTTCTGGGTTCAGGGGAGCACTTGTTGCCAAGCAGTCAGACGATGGCGGCGGTGTGAGTTTAGGACCTCGAGTTTGGGTGCTACTTTAGGGACTGTGCGCGAATTTAATAGCTTCTTACCAGCAAGTTCCCGACGTTTTAACCTCATCGGCCAGCCGTGCGGATTGAACATTGGGCCAACAGACTACCCCGAACACCCACCCTGAAAGCAAGATATACATTCTTGTATATAAACTTCGGCCTACACATTTATGCCACGCGGATGGCCTGGTGGCAGGATTGGTTGCCTTTGCCTGGTGCAAGGTGGAGACGGTGGGGGTCGGGAGTGGGAAGGGGGGGGGGTGGGGAAATTCCAAGATCTGCATTTAGGGTTTTAGGGACCGAAACCCTTCCATTCTGACTGCCCCGCAGCTGGGTTCTAGGGTATTGGGGCGGGGTTCGGGTTTGGGGCTGCAGGGTTCTGGGGGTTCTCAGGTTTTAGGGCTTTAGGCAAGCAGTCGCCAGCCCAAGGGCATCAACAAAAACGATGTCCCCAAAGCCTGAGTCCCAAACAAAACAGCTGCGCCTTCTCCACCAGGGCTGACGCAACGTTGCTCCTAAAAGCAGCCTCGGGATCCTTCTCACCTTACAAGCTTTAGAGGGGCACTTTTTTGTTTTGGGTTGTGGGGGAGGGGGTGACGTTGAGAGTTCGGATTAAGAGTTTAGGGTTTTGGGGTGGGGGTTCGAAGGTTACTCCAAAAAGCCAGCAGACTCGAGTCTTGGCTACGGTTGCCTCTGTGTGTGTGCGTGCTTTTTTGGGGGGAATATCCCGTTTCAGGGCTTTTCATGTGAAGGGGTAGACCATAAACCCGCCAAGCTTTCGGCTGGTCAGGGCCTTGCCCCACACCCCTTGCCAAACTGCTCATGAGGGCGAGCCTGTCACTTTTCTTTGGGAGGAGGGAGAGAGAGAGAGAGAGAGAGAGAGAGAGAGAGAGAGAGAGAGAGAGAGAGAGAGAGAGACAGAGACAGAGATAGAGACAGAGACAGAGACAGAGACAGAGACAGAGACAGAGACAGAGAGAGAGAGAGAGGGTCTTGCTGCGTTGGCGCCTGTAGGTCTCTCAAGGCTTCCCGGTCTCAGGGTCACACTTTCGGGTGGTTTGGGGCTTGGAGTTTCAGAATTCCAGGTCTTCGTAGGTAAGAATTTAAATGAATCCCGTCAAGGGCAATACAGGGGGTACTTAACCCACATTCCCTACTGAAAACGGGTAAGGCTCCACAGTTGCAATTAACCATGAACCTCTAAACCCTAAACCCTAAACCCTAAACCCTAAGCCCTAAACCCTAAACCCTAAACCCAAACCCTAAACCCTAAACCCTAAACCCTAAACCCTAAACCCTAAACCCTACAGACAACACAAATAGAAATTGCATGTGGTCTCATTCTGAGTCTCCCATGTTGTTAGCTATTTGTCTCAACAGCTGACAGCCGAGTTTAAGTAAATTAGTCCAAATCGCTTCTGACAAGCCGAATACTCCAGTCACTTCAATTCACTCAAACCCCCGCTGACCCCCACGCCCGGACCACCCCCCAAATCAGATGCCCAATCCAAATCCTTCCCCAGAACCCCCAATAGGTTCCCGCCCTTCCTCCCTCGCTGGCCACCGAAGACTTGCGGCTTCGCGAACTCCAGAAAAGCCCCATTTTGCCAACTTTCGCCCCGGATCTGGCTTCAAATTAAGCCCCTGAAAACCCCAAATCAAGCTCCAACTTCAGCCTGAGTTCGTGTGATGATGAAGAAGTCCTGCAGACTTAGACAACGTCGCCTACCGTGAGTCGCTCAAAAGCACCACATGCTGGCATTAGCAAGAACACCCGCGGCTTGCCCTCCAGCTCCTTGCCTTTGTGAGGCCAGCCGCCCAGCTCCGTGACACCATATACGGATTCGCCACCGGATATAGTGCAAAGGCACGGCACCCGCGCACTGCGCATTCCTGTCGGCGTCAAAACGCTTGCCCTACGCAGCGGTCCCAGCAAAGGCGGGCGAAACTTTCAAAACGAGCAGCCAGCCGACACTGGCTTCGATAATGCTTGCTTCGAACAACTTGTCAAAAAGCGCGGCAGTGTCGCGGACATGCATAAACTTCGCGGTCTCATCAGACCTGGCGCTAGCTCAAGCCGAGAATTGCCGGCCCCAAAGTGCGCTCCAAAATATGCCCCGCGAGGCCCCAAAATAAGATCCAAATTAAGGTCACCCCATAAATGGTGTGAGGAGGGCCCCAAAAGGCCCTGCACAGAAAACCCCAAAGGCGCCAGAAAACCCCAACAAAAGACGCGAGAGGCACAATCTGCACCCACGCACGATCTTTTGAAGCGGATGTCCCTGAACTCAGAGCGGTGCGTCGCACAGGGCTGTTAGTGTGGAAATTGGCTTAGGGAAGCGCTCTCGCTGAGCTTCTTCTATGAACAGCCCAACGTTCTTTCCAGTAACACACTCCCAGAGTCGCCGGAGACTGTGAGAGAGCAGGCGACTCATATCTCTGAGTGGCCTGCCTGGAGCGCAAGACTCGGCGCGCAGGTCGCGGCCTTTGAGCAGCTCAGCTTTAATGAGCATCCCCGCTTCCCCCGCTCATCTTCCATTCGCCATAAGGCGGGAAAAGGCTCACCAAGCGGCGTGGCCGGCGTCCAGCCTACGGTCACTGACGATCCACGCTCCACTTAGGGGCAAGGAACTGTTCCTTGATGTGAGACGAGAAGCGCTTGTCTGCTCGACTCAGCCCTGCCGCACTCAGTACTTGTCTGGCAAGACGCGACACTGCCTCACACGGCCCCCTCACCCCTCTCCAACAAATCTGTGCTGACTGGCCACAAGAAGAAACTTGTCCCCGGCCTCAGCATCATATGTTTTGGAACGTCGTAGGCCGCGCGGGAAACACTGCCGATCGAACGCGCGGCGCATCCCACGTCTGCAGGGATGGTGTCAGAGACAGAATGAGACTAAGACAGATGTCTAGGTCCAGGTTTCACTTCATTTCGGCTCGGCCTATCGTTGCTGCGGTAGCGAAACAAAAAACATAGACCCCGAGGTGACTGGGCTGCGAACACTACTAGAAAAAATCTAGTCTACAAGCATTCGCCACGCCGGCCCCAACATCCCGAAGAAACCTTGATCATTGTTGCACAGTACCGTGAAATCAAAAGAATCCTCAAATTGACTTCCCGACATCACAATGTCAGGTTGTTCGCTCTTGCCATACCATTGCAGACAAAAAAAACAAGCTCAAGGTCAGTCCTCTTCTTTGCAGGGCATCTCGCCACCCAGGCAGCTATCTGGGCTCGTTCTGCAAGAACGTATGTGTCCCCACGGATTGAGGGAGTATCCACTCGGTGGCAGGCCCCAACAGGTCCCTCCCCCCCCCCCCAAGTTTGAACCTATATTCTAAAACAGAATCTCGGATCCAAACTTTCCAACCCCCCCCCCTTGAATCCCAAGAGCTCCTACAAAAGGATTCTGATGGCACCTCCATGTCGGCTCACTTGTTTCGTTCAATCATTCAGGCGTTTTCGTGCTTCACTTATTCATTACAAAACGCCCTCATTCATTCACTACACTTTTAGCGTTCTTGCGCGTTCATTCATTCTATTCATTCACGCTTTATTAGTATTATTCCGGCGGCTACAAAATAATTAATGAGGCCGCCCTTATAAAAGCCCAAATTTTATTATTAAATTCGTGCGTCATTACATTCCTTACAATTTAATATAAAATTCCAAAACAGAAACTCTTGTCAAAACGCTTCGGCCAAAACGTCTCGGACAAAAATCTCGGTCAAAACGTTATTGGGACCCAAGCCCCATACAACTTCTATAAACCCTAAACCCTAAACCCTAAACCCGAAACCCGAAACCCGAAACCCTAAACCCTAAACCCTAACCCTCTAGACCCTAAACCTCTCAACCCTAACCCTCTAGACCCTAAACCTCTAAACCCTAAGCCAGAGCCGGGCTTGCCCAGGAGGGCCCAAGCCGAGCTGCAAGTCGCAGGGGCGCTCAAGGCCTCGGAGTTAGCAGCCCTGGGGTTTAGGGTTTAGGGTTTAGGATTTAGGGTTTAGGGTTAGGGTTTGAGGTTTAGGGTTTAGGGTTAAGGGTTAAGGGTTAAGGGTGAAGCGTTAGGGTTTAGGGTTTAGGGTTTAGGGTTTAGGGTTTAGGGTTTAGGGTTTAGGGTTTAGGGTTTAGGGTTTAGGGTTTAGGGTTTAGGGTTTAGGGTTTAGGGTTCAGGGTTTAGGGTTTAGGGTTTAGGGTTTCTTCGAAACCCTACGCAATTTAGAGCTTCAGCGAAATCAACTCGATGCCTAGTCTGCAACAGTCAACGCATACGAAGCCACTGCACCTATCGTCCGAAACTTGGAACGCACCCCCAAACTCCCCGAACCTCTGAATCCTAAACCCCGGAACCTAATAATCAAGCTATCAGGTTCCTAAAGCTCTTAACTCGAAGATCTTCCACCCTCAAAAGGGCCAATAGTTCAAGGCTCACGGTTCGTAACTCCAAGTCTTGCTGCCGTGGAACGGCCGTGTGGACAATCACATCTGGGCGCACCTGGCGCGCGGGAGGGACTCATGCCCTGAACCCCAAACCCTTAACGCTTCACCCTTAACCCTTAACCCTAAACCCTAAACCCGAAACCCTAAACCCTAAACCCTAACGCTAAACCCCAAGCCCTAACCCTAAACCCTAAACCCTAAACCCTAAACCCTGAACCCTAACAGCACCGCCATGGCTATCATGAGGTTTCGGGTTTTGGGCGGAAGCTCAGGGTCACGCTCTTCGGGATGCGAGAAGCGACGACGATGGGGGATGCTGCGGGGCTGTTTCCTTACAGGTTTAGGGTTTAGGGTTAGGGTTTAGGCTTTAGGGTTTCGGGTTTAGGGCTTAGGGTTTACATTTTAGGGTTTAGGGCTGAGGGTTTAAGACTAGACTGCTTAAGCAAGCCCCGGCATGGACTAGACGAGAGAAAGGCCAGTTCCAGCATGAATTCTTCGTAGCATGCCCTGACCCATGAGGCCTTCGACACGGACTTCAAACCACAAAACCCTGAGCCTCGTGTCTTTGTTTTGGAACCTGAACCTTAAACCCTGGCTCCCTGAACCCTAAACCCCAAACCGCTCGATGACCCAGAGAGCCCCGAGCAGCCCCGACCACCTCGCCGAGGACGCGTTCGCAATCGCTGGCGCTGCCTGTTGCCGAGGCTCGAAGGGTTTGGGGCTTGGAGTATTGGGGTTTGGGGCAGGGAGACGAACGAGGTGCGGTTGCTACAACTTTTGCGAGATCAAATACGATGGCATGGTCCGTGAAGTCGAACCCACAATCCTTCCAGCAGGCGGATCACACACCAAGCCTAGGAAGTTCATCTGCAGTTCTTCCAGGGGTTACTAGGCAGGAAAACTTTATCACATCTTTTTGGGGTCTTATGACCCTTTTTGAAAATGGCCGACTAAGCACCTCGACCCCAACCCTAAGCTCGAAAAGCATGCCTTGGGGTGTGGGGTAAAGGGGGGTTAGGTTTAAGTAAGGGTTGAGGGAGTTTAGGGGGCCATGGTAACTAGAAGCCGTCAAAAATCAGAACGCCAAGTTCATAAGAAGAAGAAGAAGGATGAGAAGAAGAGGAAGAAGAAGCAGAAGAAGCCATGAGACGGCAGGAGCCAGCTGAGGGGTTCGCGAGGGGCATCATGTATCGCATAACGTGAGACCGCCCATGTCACGCGTGTGGCTTAGGGGGTTTAGGGTTTAGGTCTAGGGTTTAGGGTTTAGGGTTTAGGGTTTAGGGTTTAGGGTTTAGGGTTTAGGGTGTAGGGTTTAGGGTTTAGGGTTTAGGGTTTAGGGTTTAGGGTTTAGGGTTTAGGGTTTAGGGTTTAGGGTGTTTGTTTAGCACTGGTGGCATTCCAACCCTAAACCCTGAACTCTAAATCCCTCTCTGCGTCCTGGCTGCTGACGTCCATTGCCAGAGGGCTCGAGCGAGACACCCCCACCACGTGATAGCCTCAGCTGAAGGCTCCCAGAATGGCAGGAACCATTAGGGTTTAGGGTTTAGGTTTTTTTGGGGGGGTTTAGGGTTTAGGGCTTAGGGCTTAAGGTGTAGGGTTTTAGGGTCTTAGGGGCTTTGGGGTTAGGGTTTATGGGTTTAGGGGCCACGGTATAGGGTTTGGGGTTTAGGGTTAGGGTTCAGGGCACATGAACAAGGAGCTTTCGAAAAGGAAGGGCAACAGGTCCTGGCTTGAAGCCTGATAGCGCCCCTCTACAAATGGCTCACGTGCGCAAGCGCCGGGCCCCTCGGTGGCGACAGAGATATGCACTTCAACACGAAGTGTTGCAGGCTCGGATGCCGTAGAGGCACTGCCAGGTGGACACCCGAGGTTGTGTTAACTATCAAGCGCGAGCAACCATCCTGCTCCAGGGCGGGGATCAAGAAGCGACCAACCTGGATGCAGCAAAGGATGATGGAGTGCCAGGGGGTGGGGGGGCCTCTGTTGGGGTAGGGTGGGGATGTAGCTAGGGTAGAGCTGTAGCTAGCAAATGCCTGCTGCGTACGTAGCAAGGAATTGAAGACCCAAACCCCTAGCTCATCTCGTAAAGGGTTGGATAGGGCACCCGAAAAAGCCCCCAAACTTAAACCCTATCCACTCCCCCCACTCACTCTATGCCTTTAGGCCTTTAGGGCTTCAGCCCAGGCTACATATCCCGCACCGCCGGTGACCAGGATTCGCGTGGCCATGGCAACTCTGCCACTCTGGAGCTCTAAGAAACCCCCAAAAGCATAAACCCTAGCCGTTCGGTGGGGTGTCTGCGCCGTAAACCCTCAGAAGACTCGCGTTTGGGTGTAGAGGCTCAAATTCCAGGTTGCCGCTCGGTTGGAGTTTGGGGGTGAGGTTCGGGGTGTTAGGTTGACTAACTTGCGGATGGCTTTTGTTGTTGCAAAGACTCTACAAGGCGGGTTGCAAAAGACATGGCCATAATAAAACACAAACCCAAAGTATGTACCTTTTCTGGCACCCCCGAAAATTTGAGAACTTTGACCTTCCTCGAAACCCCCCGCCAAAAAGGTATATTAATCCCCAACCTTAAACCCTAAACCCCCATTACTGTGCTTTCACCTTCAGGGTTTGGCACAGCATGCAGCTCACAACCCTGGTGAGCCTAAGCAGCTGATAGGGTTTAGGCTTTGGGCTGGGTACCATAAGAAAAAACAATAATATGAGGATACACGAATATAGTCATATACTAATACCAAAAATATTCATATGATACGATATATATATATATATATATACATATCTATATATATATATACATATATATATATTTATATTTATGATTTATTATTACAATTATAGTAATGTATCAATGCAATCATGGGTTCAAGGCACAAGGTGCACAGAGACCTTCGGATGAACATGCCGGGCCAAGGGCAGTTGGGGACTCTGGCATCCCCTGCTGCAGGAGCATGGTCACATTCCGCTGGAACTCCTGCCGCGCTTGGGAACCAGTGAAGGTTCAGGGTTTAGGGGTTAGGGTTTAGGGTTTAGGGTTTTGGGTTTAGGGTTTTGGGTTCTGGGTTCTGGGTTCAGGGTTCAGGGTTTAGGGTTTAGGGTTTAGGGTTTTGGGTTCAGGGTTCAGGGTTCAGGGTTCAGGGTTCAGGGTTCAGGGTTCAGGGTTCAGGGTTCAGGGTTCAGGGTTCAGGGTTCAGGGTTCAGGGTTTAGGGTTTAGGGTTTAGGGTTTAGGGTTTAGGGTTTAGGGTTTAGGGTTTAACAACCCAAACCCCTCCAAGACCCTAAGACCCCTCTTCACCCCACCCCCTCCCCCCCCCAGCTCCCAACCCTACCAGCCCCCCACCCGCCCCCCCAAACCCTACTAAAAAGAAACGAATCCCCGACCCCAAAACGGAACCCTGGGCCCTAATCTCCCCCGCTACAGGAGCTCCTCCGGCAGAGCAGACGACGCTTCCAAGAAGATGTCCACACGCCCTTTTGCTTTAGGTTTAGGGATCAGGGTTTAGGCTCTAGGGTTTCGGGGTTTGGGCTTTAGGGTTTGGGGGGGTTCTGGGCTAAGTTTCTTTGGAGGCGGGTCAGGACTGAAATTTGGTTTTAGCATGTAGGGTTTGGAGCTTAGAGTTTTTGGGCATCGCGTAGGGCTCGGGGGTTGAGGCGTATCTTTGCTGGGGCCGAAGGCATTGCTCTTGCCGAATGCACTTGGCTTTTCGATTGCAGCTTTCTTGAGTTAGGGGAAACTGAACTACAAACGACGGTCCGCCCAAGAATCGGGATGCTAGGCCCCAAACTAGCATGGGGAACTGAGCGCAGATGGCGGTTGAGGCGTGGGATACAGCAGCCAGACAAACCCTAAACCCTAAACCCTAAATCCTGAACCACCCCAAGCCATAAAGTCACCTGACATAAACATCCTAACCCCCAAAGCCTAAGCCTTAACCCCGGCATCCTCGACCACCCCAGGCCAGAAAGCCCCCGCGCATCTTCCTGACACCCTAACGCCAACCCTAAACCCTAAACCCTAAGCCCTAAGCCCCAAGCCCTAAGCCCTAAGCCCTAATTAAGCCCGAAGCCCGAAGCCCGAAGCCCGAAGCCCAGCCTAGAAACAGAGGGCCATCTTGGATGCAGCAGAAGGTTCCCTTAAGGGCTTAGGGACTGAGGGTCTTGATCTGTTGCTGTGTAGAGGTTTAGGGTTAACCCTAAACCCACCAAAACTTCCCCAGATCAGCGTTTGAGGGCTTCAGGTTTTTTTTCAGGGTTTCGGGTCAAGATTCTTAGCTTGGTCAACCGTGGCTTCTTGGCTTGTGCGTGGGTCCCCACCAAACAGCTTCAGGGTTTAGGGTTTAGGGGTTCGGGTTTTAGGAACCCGATAGCATAAACCCGAAACCCCAAAACACCCCGCTGCCACCTTCAGCAACGACTGGTACCTCGCGCGGCCGAGAGAAAGCAAAAATGGAACTCCCCAACCTCAAAAGAAAAGGGTGGGTTTTAGGATGAAGGCCTGGGTATTTCGGGTAGATGGTGGGGGGGGGGGGTACAGGAGTGCCATTACGTTCATAGGTGTTTGAATCGAAAGCCAACCTCACCTCCCATGCGTCCCATTCAATGTGCTCCGAGAGTCTTCTGAATATGCAAAAAATGCCCGAAACCCTGGTCGCGCAAGAAGAACACAACTCTGATACGGCATAGTCTGCGATGCATCCAACCCCCATCACTGGAAGATTGAACCCCAATGCTGTACATCCTCGGAACCTCGAAATCTTCTTGAACTGGCTCTGTGGATGAGTAGGCTTGTAGATTCTGGCTTAGGGTGTAGGGAATTCGGGCCTATGAACCCGCAGTCTACGAAGCCGAGTCGGATGGCCTCGACGACTGCACTCGGAGTGGCCTGCGCCAGACAAGCCAGACTGTCAGGCTTAGTGGTGTTTTCGGGGGGGGGGGGGTCTGAGGCCTAGCCAGGCTTTGAAGGACTGAGATTTGCATCACATTCGGTCCACCGACCACGTCATCTTCAAGGCTCCAAACTCAACACGTCACAGTCTCGACCCTGCGCCAGATGTTGCAGGCCCCCTAGTGGCCTCAAAAACCGTTCCCAAGCTCTCAGCCCCCTCGGGAATGAGGGAATTAGGGCCCTATAAACTCCCTTAAAGGGTATATATAGGGCCCTAATGCCCTCATTCCCTACGAACAAAACGGGGGGTCTGAAGCAAGGCCACAGAAGGAGAGGCCTGGGCGGCCAGCTTCTGCTTGATCAGGGTGGCAGCAACGAGCAGGTAGGACCTATAGCGAGTGCAATCGAGAACAGGGCGGCGCGGGAGGTCTACTTGGGAGGTTCATGGGTAATTAAGCAGAAGTAGGGCTATAACAAGGGTCATAACCATGGTGATAACCCTATGTTTTAGGTACTTTTAACCCTACTTATAAAGTACCCAAGGCTGGCGGCGGCAAAAAATGTAGGGGCATTACTGCGTGAAAATGCAGAGGACCCTAAACCCTGTTTTGTTTTTTGAATTCCTCTCAGCCTTGGTGCAGAGGCTACACCCTAAACCCTGTTCTGTTGCTTGAATTCCTGCCAGCCTTGGGTGCCTAACAAAGCCCAAGATTTAGATCAACCCTAAACCCTAAACCCTAAACCCTAAACCCTAAACCCTAAAAGCCCTATGTGCACAGCGGGAGGTTCTAGGGGGATTAAGCAGCTTAGGGCTGAGAGGACTTGGAGCCGAGGGCGCCCGAGAGCCCTGAAAACACCCTGAAAAAGCACTTTAAAAGCCCTTGAAAAAAAAAAGACCTGAAAAAACCCTTAAAAAAAAAAAAAAAAACCTTATAAAACCCTCAAAACCTAAAACCCTTCAACCCTTCAAACCCTTAAGCCCTTAAACCCTTAAACCCCAATCCCAGGTCCCGCCCCAAGTGTTCCACCGCGTGGGTGCGCGCGCAACACGAACAATCTGAGCAGCAGGCGGCCGCAGTCGTGGGACCTGCCACGGTCGGTTATTAGAGTCTTGGGTTCGATCCTCTGAGAACCCAGGAAGGGAAAATAGAACATATCCCAGGGGCCGAGCCAAGCCCTGTGCCCAATAAGGAAACATTATACTTATGGTTTGCCTGTTTCTAGTTGGTCCTCTCACACCGTTATCTTTAAACCCACGACCCAAATCCTAAACCTCGAACCCCTAAACCGACAACCCTAAACTCTGGAAAGCCGAAACCCTCAGCCCTGATGCCCAGCATAACATTCGACTCACTTTTCGACCGTATAAAACACAGCATGACACAGCATGACGTACTATTGCGTAACCCTACTTCCCACATGTCACTTGACATTGCACGACATAAAGTTGTCAGAACCTGCATCCGGACACCACGATGAAAGCCCAAGCCCTACACCCTCAATCCCCAAGTCCTAAACCCTAATGCCCTGAACCCGCTGCCTGAGACAGACAACACAACCCCAAAACCGTCCGGCAAGCCGCACGCCTGGGGGGCTGCCTCGCTTGCGGCTTAGGGTTTGAGGACTTGCGGCTTAGGATTTGAGGACTAAAGGGCTTTTAGAGATACATGAGGGGAACTCCTATTTCGGAAAAGGGCACCTTAAAGGAGGGGCGATCTTGAGGGCTTTGGGGCAAGCAGGGTCAAAAGAGCTCAGGGTTGCGGGTTCAGGGTTGAGGGCTTAGGGTTGCGGGCTTCGGATGTAGGGTGCAGGGTGGTTTAGTGATTTGTTCTTGCGTTTCAAGGCCAAGCACATGTGCAAGCACCTTTGAGGGGATCTCCTGTTCGGGGTCTTGATGCGCGAAGAAGTTGCGCAGCACACTGCGGCCAAGCGGCTAAAGTGGTCGGCATTTGCTTGAGGCCGCGGTGAAGAGCACACGGCGGAGGCCAGTCGGATTTTTGTTTGGCCGTAGTTCCGATTAAAACTGCTTCCGTGGTGAGGGGTGCGGGGCAGGCTTCGAAACAATGTTGGGAGTGCCGGCGAAACAGGCTCAGTGATGCATTGCTGTCGACTCATCTATGAGGGCTCGCCTCTTGGGCATATGCGCCTGAGAAGCACGTGAGATTCTCAACATCAGGATACATCAGGGATGCCTTGGCACGATCCGGATATCGAAACATGGAGCATTTTTGTTGGTACCACAAGGACGACGACAAAGCCGATGATATAGATCAACCCCCGTGCAACTTGTCCGAACTGACATCCACAAAATCCCGCCAGGGTCCCGCAAATATGCGGGGGGGGGGGGGGGTTCCACTCTAAGTTAGAGCCCTTTTTTCCCCAAGCCCCTGAACCCCACGTGCTCATTAAGCTCCAGGCCCCCCCCCCGGCCTCCCCAAAACCCTAAACCCTACTCGGAGGTTTATGGGTAGTCATGACTGGGATGACAAGTAGGGCAGCTATAAACTTTATCTGGGCATAGCCGATTCAAAGGAGTCTTATAACCCTACGTATCACTACACATGAGACTTCAAGTAGACCCGAAAAGCTGCCTTTTCTGCGCATTGACGCCTTGCGAACAGCAACACGAGTTTAAAGACAATCCTGGGCCTGGTTCACGAATGTCCATCCGTGCTTGGAATCAGAGCTCCGAGACTGTGTGAAGCGTGGGGTGGGGGTGGAGGGGGTGCAGCCCCCCAGATGCCTAAACCCAAAACCCTAAACCCTGAACCCTCAACCCTATGCCCTAAGCCCTAAACCCTAAACCCTAAACCCTAAACCCTAAACCCTAAACCCTAAACCCTAAACCCCCCCTTCTTGCCGGGAAACTTTTGTCATCCCTAGGACTGGCCACAGACTTGGGGATGAAAGCAGCTTCTGTGGGCAATGTACGGCTAATATCGAGGCCTGAACAATTAGAATAGGGTTTTGGGGATTATTCTCGCGTCTTTATGAAGGGACCATAAGGGAATACTATGAATAATTATTCCGACCCCTATATTAGATGGTCACGTCTCGAAAAAGGGTACCATGATTTGTAGAACTGACCCGTTTTTTGGATTTCGGGCCCCGGTCTAAACCAAAGCCAGAAGAACGGGCACCCTACTTTCCGGACGTAATAAGAATATTTGGGTTTAGGGTTTAGGGTTTAGGGTTTAGGATTTAGGGTTAGGGTTTAGGGTTTAGGGTTTAGGGTTTAATCATCGCCATTGTCATAAAAAGTAGACAGAATAATGGGAAGACTGGTGGTTAGCTCCATGCAGCTCTGATTCAGTAGATGACTATTTCATACGTAGCATGTATACATACGTATATATATATATATACATACATATATATATATATATGTATTTGTTTATTATATATATATATATATTGTGTGTCGTAATCAGTTCAAACAACTTAACAACGTGTACAGGCTCTGATCCAGCCACCGCAGGTTGCTGCGCCTCTCCTTGGGAGGTGGCGCCGATGGATCGCCGGTCCCTTCGGGTTCGTGCCTTGGGCCACAAAAATGTTTCGACCGCTGCTGAGCCCGGGATGCGCGCGTCCTGGGAGGGTTTAGGGTTTAGGGTTGAGGGTTGAGGGTTTTTAGGGTTTTTGGGTTTAGGGTTTAGGGTTTGGGGTTTAGGGTTTAGGGTTTTAGGGTTTAGGGTTTAGGGTTTAGGGTTTAGGGTTTAGGGTTTAGGGTTTAGGGTTTAGGGTTTAGGGTTTAGGGTTTAGGGTTACCACTGCAGCCGCAAGTAAGGCCATCGCCCGAGCACAATCCTAGACCTCTAGCTCTGAAGCCCGACCTCACGTGTACCCTTGCTCGCCGAGCCCAGCAGTTGAACTCTCAATAATCATGTGGGGGCAGCTCTGAATCATGGTCCCTTTTGGGGGTCACTTTTTTCTCATGCGGATCCTCCGAGTTAGGGCACCCGCAAAGGGACCATGATTAAGAGAGCCGCCTATGTCGCACTGCTCTGCCCAAAATGCCACTGCCCTCCTTCCGGAGAGGCTCTATTCTGCGGATTCAGGGTTTTTGTGGTGTGCTCTGTTAGGAGGGGGGGGGGGCACGGGCTGCTGTTTTGGGTGGGTTCTCAAGTTCACAAGACCCTTGAGGTGAGTCTAGGATGCTGGGCAATGCTCCAGCCTGCTGTTGGGAAATCCTCACATCAGCCAGCGGCTTCACATGGTTGTTCTGAGCTCCTCCTGACCACGGGGCAATTTAGGGTCTAGGGTTACGGAATCTGGGGTTTAGGGCTAGACCCAAAACTTGTAAATCTAGAGGAATGACAATGGAACCAGCCAGGGATTTTCCGACGCGGCTCTGTACAGTAGACCTAGTTACCTAGTTGTCTAGGCTCAAGGCGTGGCAGCAAGGTGCCAGCCAGACGCGTTTCTTTTGAAGCTGAGGTTTCTAACTACGTTGCTGAACCTTTGAGGGATGCGTGTTGGGGGTGCAATAGGTCTGGTGGTTCTGCCCCTCCGTCGGACTGACTGCACAGACAGCCACTGGCCACAAATTGGTTGCGATCTGACGTCAACCAGCGTGGGTTCTTGCCCACTACGTGATGCAGCCAAGTCACTGGCGCTAGAGGGACGTTTCTCGGATGCCCTTGGTGGCACAGAGGCAGGCAGCGCACAAGAGCTTGAAATACTTGCGGTTGGTCCGCAGTCATTGGTGGGAGTTTCGGCGGCGTGACTTGAAAAGAATCGACATGTCGCGCGAGCTCAGTGCCCTCATGGACGACTTCGCTGTGTTCGGCGGTGCCCCTCTTGAGTTCTGCGTGTTCGACGGGTCGGCCACGGAACAGCGAGCTGGTTGGGGCTTGGCGTCATTTGCGTGGGATGGTCTTGCGTCGTTCTTCGTGGGATTTGCAGGTGGTTCTATGTCACCTGGCCCTGCTGCTACAAACAACAATGCGGAGTGCATGGGCTTGCTGGTTGCTCTTACTCGGGCTGTTTCCGTACCTGCCACAGTACGTACGCGCATTTTTGTTGATTCGACCTTGTGCCTTTGGAAAACGGCATCTACAAGATGAATCGTGCTGTCGTGAGATAGCGGGACGTCTGAGAAACATGATGCAGAACCACGAAAGGTGGGGTTCCAACATCCTCCTTGACTGGACTAGGGGGCACTGGGGGATTGTTTTTGCAATGCGGTTGCTGACACTGTGGCAGGCGTCTTCTTGCGTGGTGGCCTGAGTGACTCTCCCATCCCACATGTGGCGTTGCAGCTTTGGGAACATCCTCTTCCTCCGTGGGCTCGGATGGGGGTGCGTGGTCTACCGTCGCCTGGGGATCTTGAGCGAGGGCAATATGAGCCGCCTGACGCACTGCCACTACATTGCGTTGAGTCGATTGTTCAAGATGTACAAGGTCGTTGTGTTGAAGGCCGTTCCACGTTTTGCTTGCAATTGTGCACTGCCAGCGTTTGTACGCGGAAGTGCCCTTTGCTTAGAAAGCAGCTTCGTCAGGAAGGCATACATGTCTGCGCCGTTCAGGAAACAAGGATCCCGCTGATGTTCACCTGCGAGGGCTGGATGTCAGTGCCTTCGCGGTCGTCAAAGGATGTGCTGTGTGGATCGATGGCGTTGCCCTTGGGACTTTGCTTGGTACCAAACCCCTTGACACGAGTGCCTTAATGGTCCTGCGTGAGGAAACTGATTGGCTTGCAGTGCGTGTGGCGTGGGGCAGTGTTGACGTCGTCGTGGTATCTTACCATGCGCCCCATTCTCAACATGATGAAAGTGATGTCCGGCGGTGGTGGCAACAAGCGAAATCCTAGATCAGAGAGTTCAAAAACTTGGCGCCTGTACTTTTGCTAGGCGATGCCAACTCCAAGGTGTCAGTGGAGTTTGTTTTTGTGTTGCCAAGTGAAGCACCTGCGTGTAACTACTAGATATGTTCACTTGGGCACTTTGTTGACTGATGGTGTTGTGGCTGGGCCAGACTTGCGTCGCAAGCTTGCAAAGGCCATGGGCTATGTGCGAGCAGAGGAAGGTTCTGCTTCAAGCCTTGGGGGGCAATGTCGCTCAGCATAATGTGAGCGCATCCTACATGCTTGCAGGATGGTTGCGAGCTCGGACCGGTGTAGCTTTTGGCTGTTGAAGAGTTTGCTGCCCGTGGTTGCAAGACGATGTGATCATGGATGGCCAAATGGGCATTTGGCCCCGGTTGAGTGTGAAGGACAGGGACTTTGGGACCTTTTGTCCTGAGCTTGCAGTGTCGATCCATTCCCTGCTGGGACTTGCGGGAGCAACAGTCAGACCTGGACTGTTGACAGCCTGCACCGACATCTGCCCAGCGATGCCAGCGGGGGCAAGTGCTTGCCTGCGTTAGTTGCCATGGTGCCCCCAAATGAGCCACACGCGGTCATTGAGCCTGTCAGTGTCTGCCGTGCGTGGTTCTGGTCCACTAAGTTTTGGACGGTGACTCATGGATCCGTGAGTCTAGAGGCCTTTTCTGAGCCCTTAATTCCTTTAAGCATGCTTTTGATGAAGAAGTCTACAGGAGCCTTCTCGGACGCGCCTTGGACAGACCGCTTGCTAGAGGATAGTGGGGCCTTGTAGGGCTTCGGGAAGCTGAAAGTTCAAGGCCTGGGAGCGCAAAACAAGACGAGAGACCCGAGTTGAAACGGCAACGGCAACGCACCATCCACAATCGCTCTGGGATCTCTCTGTATAGTTCCTTTCCAGGGGCTTTCGCTCCCAAATAGGTGGAAAAAAAGCAGAAGCTAAAGCAAAGAAGGCGTTTCGCACGACGCATTTCTGGACAACAAGGGGGAATTTTCGACCAAAAGCCACAACAAGGGTTGCACCCAATCGGGCTGAGGCTTTTGGATTTCGGCGCTGATGTGCCCAAATACTTTCGGCCCGGGATTCAGGATGGCTTGAGGAGCTTAGGACGTAGGGACCTGCAGTCCCGAATAACCCTAAACCCTAAACCCTAAACCCTAAACCCTAAACCCTAAACCCTAAACCCTAAACCCTAAACCCTAAACCCTAAACCCTAAACCCTAAACCCTAAACCCCACACTCTGTTTGGGATCGTGGCTTTGTGACTCTTTAGCAAGCACATCAGTCTATGCCGGGTGTCCTCTGCAGAGGCGCTAGATTGGCGCACTCCAAAGATGTCTTGCCTCACAGCTTAGGGTTTTAGGGTTTAGGGTTTAGGGTTTCGGGTTTAGGGTTTAGGGTCTAGGGTCTAGGGTCTAGGGTTTAGGGTCTAGGTCTAGGGTTTACGGTTTAGGGGTCATCTAAACACCCTTCTTAGGCATTTCTAGCCCGTTTTTCAGTGGGCACCAGCCCAGAGCTCCAAAAACTTTGAACAGCACGCAGCAGGATGGGTTTTGGGGTTTTGGGGGGGGCTCTGTGGACGAGTTGGGGGAGGGAGCACCTAAACCCTAAACCCTAAACCCTAAACCCACCATGCTGTGCTAGGAGGAGTGCTGGCTGGACCGGGTGTCGTGTTTGCTCAGCCTTGGGGTCCGCGGTGTCGGTACTATGATCTTCTTACTCAGTGCTGCTTCCCAAGTACTCGAAGTTTAGGGGCCCTACGCCCTGAACGCTGAAGAAAGCCTCAACCCCCCACCAAACCGTAAACCCTAAACCTTAAAGAACACTGAGCCCCTAAACCCTAAACCCTAAACCCTACACCCTGAACCCTAAACCCTAAACCCTAAACCCCATGCTCGGGGGCTTCGACTAGGCTTGGAGGTCGAGCCTGCCCCGTGCAACTTCATCGTCCTCACGCTCCTGCCCCGGGGCATTTAATGTCTGAGTCGGGGACTGAAGGCATCAGTGATCAGCCCTGAATATTCCACTCAGGGTTTAGGGTTTAGGGTCTAGGGTCTAGGGTCTAGGGTTTAGGGTTGAGGGTTTCGGGTTTAGCGGAATTGCAGGGGCAGCGGCCCACTTACTTCAGTACCTTCCAGTTGGGGTGTTCAGGGTCTGGGTCCCAGAGCAACCTAGGCAGAAAACGGCGTACCCCTTTTGTGCGTAATGGCTGAGAAGGGAAGTAACCCAACAAAAAGGTGTGGGAAAAAAAGGAACACCCCAAACCCCTAAACCCCAAACCCTCAACCCTCAACCCTCAACCCTCAACCCTCAACCCTCAACCCTCAACCCTAAACCCTAAACCCTAAACCCTAAACCCTAAACCCTACCCTGGGTCCTCGGAGTTCTAACGGCGAGGGTTTGGGCTCCAGGTCGTCGGGTTCGAGGTTCTTAAGTTCGAGGATGCGGTAGGATCCCTCCAAGCTAGAGGGTACTTATAAGTAAGGTTATAAGTAGGGTAACTATGTTAAAAACCTTTGTTAACGGGTACTTATAACCCTACTTATAAGCGCCCCTGAACTTTCAAGGAGGGTTTAGGGCTGCGGGTTCGGGTTTTGGGTGTAGGGCCTGGAACTTTGGCTGAACCTTTATGAACCCTCCAGCTCTGAGGCCTACGACCCTCAAGCCTAAACCCCGAAAAAGCCTTGAAACCACGAGAGCCCTGGCAAGGTACCTAGGGAGCCTTAGGGAAGCTTAGGGAGCCTTAGGGAGTAGTGGGGAATACTAGGGAACCTCGGGTTGCATACCACCCCTTGAACCCCCCTCCCTTAAGAACTCTATATAACTAGTCAGCAAACTGAGATGCAAAACTCTGAGGCTGGCGGGCTGCGAAGGACTTCTCTCAAGCGCTCAGCATTCTCAGAAGTCGACTGTCACTGTCCCCGGCACCCTCCCGAAAGCCCTAGGCCTCACTATGCCACTAAAACCCTAAACCCTAAACCCCAAATCCTAAACCCTAAACCCTAAACCCTAAACCCTAAACCCTAGCACACAAACAACAACTCAACCCGGGTGCCTTGGCGAGAGCCAGAAGCGCAAGCTGGGCTTGAAGCCTCGCAGAACGCGCCACAACCGGGTAGTGCTTGGGGGGTTGAGGCTGTAGGGTTGCGTAGGGTTTAGGGTTTAGGGTTTAGGGTTTAGGGTTTAGGGTTTAGGGTTTAGGGTTTAGGGTTTAGGGTTTAGGGTTTAGGGTTTAGGGTTTAGGGTTAGGTTTAGGGTTTAGGGTTTAGGGTTTAGGGTTTAGGGTTTAGGGTTTAGGGTTTAGGGTTTAGGGTTTAGGGTTTAGGGTTTAGGGTTTAGGGTTTAGGGTGTATATTGGGTTTAGGGTCCAAGGTGCATAGGGCTTCGGGGTTGGGGTTTAGGGTGGCAAGAGTCGTGGAAGGACCTGGCACTGATGAATGAAAACCTGCTCGAGTGGAAGAATATCTTCGGACATGGTTTCAAACCTAGGCCCTAAACCCTAAACCTTGAAGGAAAATGTCATTTCACAAGAGTGGGCCCAGGGCCCAAAGGCGTGATTGCATCTGCGATGCGTCATGCCATAAGGAAGGGCTAAGGCAAAGACAGTGCGGCACTTTGACCCACAACCCTAAACCCTAAACCCTAAACCCTAAACCCTAAACCCTAAACCCCTAAACGCTTGAGCTGCAGCACAGGCCGGCCGCTTTAGGGCCGGCTCTTGGTCCTCTGCCTTCTCCGCATCTGCCACCCTAAACCCTAAACCCCTAAACGCTTGAGCTGCAGCACAGGCCGGCCGCTTTAGGGCCGGCTCTTGGTCCTCTGCCTTCTCCGCATCTGCCTCGTCCCTGTCCCAGACCCCTGGGAGGATCCAAAAAATCGATCCCCTTAAGGGTTCCTAAGAATGACCCAACAGTAGAATAGGGTACTATTTGGGGGCTCAATTTTTGGGATCCTCCCGGGGGTCTGAGGCGTGAACGAGCGCCACACAAGCCTCGAAGTGCGTCGGCCCGACACTCTATTGACGTTTAGGGTTTAGGACGAAAACCAGTTAGGAACCCTAAAAGGACATTTGTTTAGGGGGAAAAATATATGTATATATATATATATATGTATAATAAAAATAAGTAAATAACCCTACAGTAGGTGCATGTAGGGTGCAACTCCTAGACCGGTACAGATTGAAGGGAAGGGCCAAGCTACAGCCGCGATGAGTCGGAGCTGTCAGCTCTTGGTTGCGGAATACTACTCCGCAAAGGGTCTCGGGTGCAGGGTTAGGGTTTGGGTTTAGGGTTTCGGGTTTGGGGTTCCGAGTTTGAAGTGTTTAGGGTTTAAGGTTTATATAGGGGTGATGAACTCCTTGTGTGTCTACGGCGTGGGGCTTGCGAGGCAGCTTGGGTCGGAACCCAGACCCTCAGCCACAAACTGTGCCAGGGGGCAAGTCAACCGTCTTTTTCAGCTCCTTGACTTCATCCTGCGCGAGAACTGCGGTTTCAGGCTTGAAGCTTACCCTAACCCCTAGACCCTGAACCCTAAACCCTTAGTCGTGAAATGGATTGCTAGCAGGAAAAGTGTCTGCCCACTTACAACACACACCTCCTAGAAGCCCCCGAAGCCCCAAAACCCCTAAAGTTCGCGTTTCAGGCTCCAGGGGTTGGATTCTTTTCACACGTGGTTTGGGGTTGAGGGTTTAGGGTTTAGGGTTCAGGGTTTAGGGTTTAGGGTTGAGGGTTTAGGGTTTAGGGCTTCGGTAAAAGAAGGTCCTGCCGACGTCTAAGGGTCTTAGGGTCTCAGGGTCTTAGGGTCTTAGGGTCTTAGGGTCCTAGGGTCTTAGGGTCTTAGGGTCTTAGGGTCTTAGGGTCTAGGTTCAGGGTTTAGGGTTTAGGGTTTAAGGTTTAGGGTTTAGGGCGGTTGAGGGTTGAGGGTTTAGGGTGTAGGGTTTAAGACTTTGGGTTCTGGGTTGTCGGTTCTGTGTTCTCGGTTTCGGGTTCGGGGTCGAGGACCCTTTCAAGAGGCCCTTTCGGCTCTCTGGCAGGGTCTCCTGCAGCGATTTCTCTTCAGGCGGGCCCCTCATGTCATAGGACTTGACCGGGCTCCTGGCGTTCAAAGTTGGTCTTGGGGATTTTCTGGGAGAGTGCTTCGGAACCCTCGACCCTCCAGAAAGTCTAGGGCTTGGAGCCCGGTGGGGGGGGGGGGGGGTCCAGGTTTTGGGGTCTGCTTCCCGAAGGCCAGGGTGCGGAGGCAGTGGGGGAGGTGTCGAGTTGTTGCTTGGAGGTTCATGGCTCCTAAACCCTAAACCCTAAACCCTAAACCCTAAACCCTAAAACGCAAACTGGGGTTCTAAGCAGGGCACCTAGAGTTCGAACTGGTACTGACCTGATTGGGGGCGGGTGTCTCATGTCTCATGGGAATCACGGTGACCCTTTTGGACTACTTCAAACATAAGGGGCCATATATTTAGAGACCTGACCATTCTCGACACTCAGCATAGACCCCGTCCTCACACCACCCCCCCCCCCCCCCCCCCCCCGCCAGGAAAATCCCAAAGGCCTACCGAAGGGATCTCACAGATGAGCCCACTGCATGAACCTCTGCAAACTCCTGACCCAAAACCCGCAAACCCCTAAACTGAACCCCCTAACCCACATTCCCTAAACCCTAAACCCCCCCCCCCCCATAAACCCCAACACACCAAACCCCCAAAACCCCACACCCTCAACCCTAAACCCTAAACCCTAAACCCTAGACCCTAAACCCCACACCCGAAACCCTAAACCCTAAACCCTGCGGATTGCAATCGTTCTTAGCCAAGGATCGATTCCGGTGTCAAGCTAGCACGGCGGGCCGAATGCCCATTCATCGCCCTCGGGTTGCAGGTTTTGAGGGGAAAGGGCCTTTGGCGACTCGGGGTTCATATGGGGTTCTTGGGTTCATGGGGTTTAGGGTTTAGGGTTTAGGGTTTCGGGTTTAGGGTTTAGGGTTTAGGGTTTAGGGTTTAGGGTTTAGGGTTTAGGGTTTAGGGTTTAGGGTTTAAGGTTTAGGGTTTAGGGTTTAGGTTTAGGGTTCGTGCTCTGGGGTTCAGGGTTAAGGGTTTAAGGGCTTTACGGCTTGCCCCGCAGTGTGCAGCTTGCGCACCGTCATCTTAAGATTGTCTGTGTGTGAGAGAGAGACGCAGACGAGCAACTTTAAGACGAGTGTATGCCACCCCCTTCAACCTTCTGCATGAGGCCTCCTCACATAACTTAACCTAACAGGATACCGGAGCGGAAAAAGCTCCCAAGGTTGAGCGTTCGGACGGTCCAACAACCTGAAACGAAACTCTCAACTTGGTGGCCACACGTTTCCCAGTACTGTAGCCCAAGAGCAGAACCCTACTGTGCTTCATGGGGGGAATGAAGGCACTGTGGGAATCCCGCAGACCGCCGAACGACTCGCCCCAAAACCCTAAACACCAAGCTCGCACAACCCCAAACCTGCCTCAACCCGCCTAACCCTGAAAACTCCCAACCCCCTGAACAGCCTTAACCACCCTAAAACACCAACCCCCGCACACCCGTAAACCTAAACAAGACAGAAAAGTCAGCCCCAAAGCCATAAACCCGAAGCCCCAAAGCCCTAAACCACCAAACCCGTACAAATCTGTACACCAACATCCTAACCCTGGCCATCCTACACCCCTTAAACCCTAATTCCCCCAAACCCCAAAACCGCACACCCAATCCCTCAACCCCAAACCCTCAAACCCCCAAATGCAGGATCCCCTATAAACCTCAGCCCCACTAAGCACCTAAGCTAAGCCCTCCGCTCTAAATCCTAAACCCGAAAACCCTAAACACCCCTAAAGCCCCAAATCCCTAAACCCTAAACCCCCCATAGCGGGTCTTGCGCCGAAGTTGCTCCACAAAGTTCTCCCAGAAGCCTGTAGGCTGTAGGGTTTAGCGTTTAGGGTTTAGGGTCTAGGGTTTAGGGTTTAGGGTTTAGGGTTTAGGGTTTAGGGTTTAGGGTTTAGGGTTTAGGGTTTAGGGTTTAGGGTTTAGGGTTTAGGGTTTAGGGTTTAGGGTTTAGGGCTAGGGTTTAGGGTGTAGAGCGTAGGGCCTATGTAGGGCTTATGGCGCGTAGGCTTGCGAGAGCTGCGTGGTCGGTTTGGGGCTTTTAGGAAGCTAAAGAAACAAAACCCCTAAGCAATCTACCGTTCAACAGTCCCCAATATACCAGTAGAAATAGAAATTAATAATGGTAATCATAATAGAAATAGTAATCATAATAGAAAGAGTAATCATAATAGAAATAGTAATCATAGTAAGCATAATGGTAGTCGGAATGAGAATCATCATCGTACTAACATGTACGTGATGTGCAATAGTGCTACAACCAGGGTGACGTTTACGGTTCAGGGTGCGCGGCTTAGGCGCAGGACCTGACAAAGAAGGGGTGTAAGCCCTACACCGCCGGCAGCAACCCTAAACCCTAAACCCTAAACCCTGGCGTGTCCCCGCCTTTCGGCGCGCCAATGTTTACACTGGAGGTAGCTCGATCAAGAAGCATCGCCTGGTAACCAGGGCTTGTTTAGGGTTTAGGGTTTAGGGCTTAGGGTTGAGGGCCAGTTTCGGGTTTAGGGTTTTGGGGTTTCGGGGCTTATAGTGCACCCTAAACCCTGAACTCTGAACCCTCAACCCTCATGCAGCACGTAAACTCTGTGCTGAAGCCAACCCATGGAGGCCTTGTGCTTGTTGGTGCTAACGCTGCCATCGTCAAACCTTGGCCAAAGAAGGAGGGTGTGAGGGTTCGGGCCGTTGGGTTAAGGGGTGCCCTCTCTGAATCACAAAGCTCAACAGCCCCCCAAACCAGGGGCCAATCAGCAGGGAGGGGGGGGGGGGGGGGGGGGGGAGGGCAAGACACCCTAAACAAGAAACCCTAAGCCGCAACATTACAACTTCCCAGAGTTCACACATCTGCATCCACTACAACCCGACAGAGTTGCATGAGATCTCCCGCAAGCCCGCGCTTAGAAACCCCCTAAGCCCTGCACCCTCAACCCTAGAAGCCCTACAACAGTTTTAACCGTAAAACGCCCTGTAAACCCTAAACCCTACAAATCTTACAGGCAAACCTTCTGGAACTTTAAAAGCCTCCTAAACTCGAAACACCCCAAACGATACACCTATAAACCCTACAAGAAACGCCTAAAACCCTACACCCCATAAGCCCTACACACTGAACCATCACCCGCATCACTAATCCTTACACCCTGTAATTATCCAAAAGCAAAAACCTTAAAGGCCTCAACAACCCTAAACCCTAAACCCTAAACCCTACACCCTAAACACTAAAACCCCGTAGAATACAGGAATCCTACCAACCCTGAAGGCTGCGAACATCATCCAGGCCACTGGTGTTCCCACAGGTCGAGTCCGATCCTCAGCAGTTGCGGCGGCTTGTCAGGGCTATTTTTGGGTTTAGGGTTTAAATTTAGGGCTTAGGGTTAAGGGTTTTGGGTTTAGGGTTTAGGGTGGTTTCCGAAATTAGGGTACCTTATTGGGGTCCTTATTATAAGTGAACCCACTATTTGGCGGTCTATTTTAGGGGTCCCACCTTTCGTAAACCCCCATTTGGGGTTTAAGGCTTAGAACTTAGGGTTTAGGGTTTGGGGCTTAGAGCTCAGGACTTATGGGGGTTTGAATATTAGGGTTGCGGATTCTCGGGCCACAAGTGCGAAACCCCAAACACCCAATTCAAAACCCGAAACCCATAACCAGGTATGCCTTTCAACCATCCCAAAGAAGTCCTTCGAATTCAGCAACGTGGGGGGGGGGGGGGAAAGCATCGTTCAAACCCTCAACCCGAAACCATAAACCCTAAACCCGAAACCCTAAACCCTAAACCCTAAAAACGCGCCAAGGGCTCAGTTCGCATGCGCGAGTGCACCGGAAGCCGGCCACGATCTCGATGAGCCTGTAGGGTTTAGGTTTAGTGTCTAAGATTTAGGGTTTAGGGCTTAGGGTTTAGGGTTTAGGGTTTCGGGTCTAGGGTTTAGGGTTTAGGGCTACTAGGGCTTCGGGATTCGGAGCCTCTAAGATCCAGGGGGGCTAAGGGTTGGCGGTTCAAAGACGCACATGTCTTCTAAGATTCTGGACAAGACCTGCCAGTTCACGCCTCTTGTCGCCGTGCCGCCCCTTCCCCTCCACTCGGATCTAAGCACAACATCGGCCAAAAGACTCAGGGGGAATGCCTGTTTAGGGTTCGGGGGTTGGTGTTGAGGCTTCAGAGTTCAGGAGCCTAGTAAAGCAAGGGGGCTGTTCAACCTCAACAGCTACAGCGACGCAGGCGCCATATGGGTGCCCAAGAAGTTCCGAAGGTCTCCGAAAGTGAGGGTGTTATGGGGACCCTAAACCTTGAGCATTTTGGGGGGCTGACAGTGTTGGCGTTGAATTCTCAAGGGGCTCAGGGTTTAGGGTTTAGGGTTTAGGGTTGAGGGTTTCGGGTTTCGGGTTTCGGGTTTACGGGGAAGCAGCAGCATGGTTGTGTCGAGGCACAGCACGGAGATGTAGGTGATTCCTATGGAGATCCCCGAGAGAAGAAACCTGAGCTGGCGGGAGGGGAGGGGGTTCGAGTAGGGTCTGGGGTTTAGGGTTTAGGGTTTAGGGTTTAGGGTTTAGGGTTTAGGGTTTAGGGTTTAGGGTTTAGGGTTTAGGGTTTAGGGTTTAGGGTTTAGGGGTTAGGGTCTAGCGTGGGTTCTCCCAATGACCTAGGCAGGAGTTAGCCAGTGATCACCTTTTCGTTCAAGCTCCCTCAGGCTTAGTCAGGCAAACATCCTGCGCCACACAAATCCCGGTGAAGACCCCTGACCCCACACGCCGTGAATCTCCTACCTAGAACATCCCCCAAGCCTCAAACCCCAGAACCCTAAACCCACATGAAAACCCCTGAGACCCGAAAGAAACTCCCAACCCTAGATCCTGAAACCCTAAACCCTAAACCCTAAACCCTAAACCCTAAACCCTAAACCCTAAACCCTAAACCCTAAACACATTCTAGAGGGGGGAAAAAGCCCCCTGGAAAGGGTCAGCCCTGTCCCGACGCCGGGAGCTGAGGGCTGAGGGAAGAAAGAAAGGGCTTGGGGGCTTCCTGCTATGGTTCAGGCTTCAGACTTCTGAGGGCTTTAGGGGTCTAGGGTTGAGGAGTTCAGGGTTTAAGAGTTTAGGGTTTAGGGTTTAGGGTGTAGGGGTTTGGGTTTAGGCCCAAGGCCCAAAGCATCTGCCCAGTGGCAAGCCGATGAGTTGATTTCCCAACAACGTCCACCCGGCATCTCCGCCGCCTCAGGGAATGGAGAGAGGTTTAGGGTTTAGGGTTTAGAGTTTAGGGTTTAGGGTTTAGGGTTCAGGGTGTAGGGTTTAGGGTTTAGGGTTTGGGGTTGTAAGCTATACTTGAAGGTTCATGGGTACTTATAAGTAGGGTTTCAAGTACACTGAATGGGGATATAACCATGATTACCCTACTTCTAACCCTACTTCACAAGTACCCGGTTGTGGTTTTGCGTTTAGGAGTGGGTCAGTTGGGGCCTGGGCCTGAGGACTTAGCTTGTTTTGGGTTAGGGTTAAGAGCCTCAGTGCTGCGACTTGACAGAGGTGAGGGCTGACAGCTTTGGGACACAAACTGGTGTGAGTGGGGTGGAGAGTGGGGTGGAGGGAGGGGTGGCTGGGAGGATTCTGTTCCTACCTGCCCTACACTTTCAGGCCTCAGGAAGCTTGAAGCTTCCGAACGCACTCCGCCTAAGCCCCGAAAACCTACAACGGAAGGTGTCCGGGCAGCATCCTAAAAAAACGATTGTACTTTGGAGAAACCTTAAACCTTTCACCCTAAGCCTCTGCGCTACAAGCCTTTGCTAATCACGACCAGCGCTCGCTTTCCACATTCTGCAGCCCGACCGCGCCGAGGCAGCGAACAAGTGGTGATGATAGCAGTGCTTCAAGGCACTTGTTGCTTTGGAGCTTTGGGGCTTTGGGGGGCTTTGGGGGGCTTTGGGGGGCTTTGGGGGGCTTTTGGGGGCTTTGGGGGGCTTTGGGGGGCTTTGGGGGGCTTTGGGGGGCTTTGGGGGGCTTTGGGGGGCTTTGGGGGGCTTTGGGGGGCTTTGGGGCTTGGGGGCGTTGGGGACGCCAAGTACATTCGGGCGGCGCTGGGGGTGCACCCTAAACCCTCCATCCCCTAAAATCTCACGGGCCTGCGACTGCCTCCCATGAATCTCAAGCCTTCCCGCCCTCTTCCTCTATGCCAAGGAGCCGAAAAAGATCCCGACGACGTCCGGATTCACGCAGCTCTTTTGGGCAAAGAGTGCAACAGCTATGGCTCCCCAAGCCTGGACGTCGCTGGAGGGTCTTGGGTTGAATTTTTGGGGGTTCAGGACCTAGGCTTGCACAGTGCTTTGACATGAAACCCTAAACCTGTCGGGTATGTAGGGTTTCAGGGTTTTAGGTAGACAGATTCAGGCTTTTTTACCCGAGAGATTCGTGTTTAGGGGCTAGGGTGTTGGCGGTTTAGGTTTGGGGCTCTAGGCTTTGGGCGCCCCTAACAAGTAAAAAACACACAAAACTCAAATGGCCCTCCAAAACTCAACCCCCGAAGCCTAAACCCCAAACCCCAAACCCCAAACCCTAAACCCTATAGAAACCCTAAACCCCAAACCCTAAACCCCAAACCCCAAACCCTAAACCCTAAACCCCCCTTCAATGAGCTGAGCAGCTCCACTTGGACCATGAGCCGCAACAGCACCGACGGCATCGTCGATCTGAAAATGTGCCAAAACCTCCTTCGAAGCGGCACAGGGTTCAGGGTTCAGGGTTCAGGGTTCAGGGTTCAGGGTTTAGGGTTTAGGGTTTAGGGTTTAGGGTTTAGGGTTTAGGGTTTAGGGTTTTCAGGGTTTAGAAGGTTTAGAAGGCTTAGAAGGTTTAGAAGGTTTAGAAGGTTTAGAAGGTTTAGGATTTAGGGTGTAGAAATTAAAGTTTAGGATCTGGGGTGTAGGGCGCAAGTGCGTAACGAGAGACCAACTCCTCTCGGAAGGATAGCCCGAGCCCCTCAGTCCCTGAACCCTTCAACCCTCAAACCGATAAAGCCCTAAACTTGGATTGCTCCCCCTTAACACGAACAGCCCTTAAGAAGGATTATACTTGGGGGGGGGACGATAGTCCCCATTAAGGACGGGTAGTATAAGGGGGAGACCTAAACTCCGGTCGCCCCCGGCCGAGAGATTCAAGGGAACCTCTCTGCTTCCCCAACCTCTACTTGAAGGTTCGTGGGTTCTGATAAGTAGGGTTCTAAGTCCAAAAAGGGTTAGAAACATGCTTCCCTTCTTATAGACCTACTTATGGGGACCCATGAACTATACTCCCCTTGGAACCTTAATCAAAATAATATTCTGAATATCCTCTTGGGTTTATATGAACAAAAATACAAAAACAGTTCCCAAAAGGGGGATATAGTTACAAGGACCCATGAACGTCCCCCGCTCTTGAAGGTATCGGCCGCGAAAGTCCTGTTTTGGCACCTTCTGCACCCCACCAGAGGTGCCACCCGCGCAACCCGAAACCCTGAAAGCCTTCTGCAGACATGGGGGTTTATGGTTTAGAGTTTGGTGTTAGGGTTTTGGGCGGGACCAGACTTCCTGCAGAAAAAACCTTCGGGAGAGGGTTTAGGGCTCAAGGCTTAGACAGCATTCTCAATGTCCAAGCTACCCCGAAGGACGTTGTAGCTCAAGACGAAATGGGAGCTTACTTTGCTTGAAAAGGCGTTGGGCAACTCGAAAATGGTAGGATGCAAACCTTCGAACATGTGGAGGGCTGACTTATTTGTAGATGGGTATAGCGCTGACTTGTTCAGGAGCAAAGGGCTTTGGCTTCGGGTTGCATTTGGGAAATGTTGGAAACGAGTTTATAGGGTCTAGGGTCTAGGGTTGAGGGTTTAGGGTTTAGGGGGATTGCGCGTAGGCTGCGCAGAAATTGACGGAACGGTGGGTGTTGTGGCATTTGCTGAACTTGCGGGTGGTGGAGTGGTCAAAAAAAGCCGCAGTAAGCGTACCGGGTGCGTGGAAATGATGTCGAACCAATACGGGTGGGTTCAGGGTTCAGGGCCGTTGAGGGCTTACGGTTCAGGATCTGAAGGCCAGAAAAACCTTCTTGTCCTCCATGATGAGTGACAGAATGGCGGCAACAAAACCTGCGAGGAGGCCCCCCAGAACTGAACCCTGAAACCTCAACTCCCTACTTGAAGGTTCATGGTAGTTATTGACCAATTATAGCTGTACTTCTAACGCACTTAGAAGCCCCTTAAGTGTCCTAACATGGTCAAAATACAGATATAAGTAAGTACCATGAACCTCCAAGCAAAACCTGCAAGCCCTCAACCCTAAGCCTCAAGATTTGGGGCTTGGGAACTGCGTGGCACAATGCAGACCACTTCACCCCAAGCCATGAAGCCCTCAACCCTAAGACTTAGAACTAGAACCCTAAACGCTGTACCCCCAAAACCAAAATCCGAAGCCCTAAATCCCTAACACAAGCAACCCTAAGCCCTAAAACTCTAAAGCCTACATCCCAAAAGCCACACAACCCGACAACCCTCGAGCCTGAAACTTGAGGCCCTCCAACCTGCCCTACAGTCTTACAACCCCTAATTCAACCCAACTTTTTCTAGCTTCTGCTCTTCAATTCATTTTTCTTGAAAGTGTACATGAGTTTTTGTGTGCACTGTTGTATGTACCACAGTCGAGTTTAAAATCCTCAAGCCTAAAAAACAGTTCCCTTCCAAGAGCCCCAGCAAGAAGAGCCAAGCCCAATCTTCCCTTCTCCTAGGGCCTCAGGGTCGTTATACCGCTTAGGGTTCAGGGGGTTTGAGAGGCTACCGGCTTGAGGGGCTGAGGGTTTGGGGGGAGTTTGGAGCTTGTGGGTTCAGGGTTTCAGGGCACAGAACCCTTGGCCCAATGGTTTGAGGGCTCACAGGTAGCTGCCTTCCCAAGACCCTGGACCACAAAATGGCGGGGGTCCTAAACAACTGAGGGCCCTTTCAAAGCCCTAAGCCTCAAACCCTAAACCTCAACCCTCATGACCCTTCAATGCCCTCTGGACACAAAGCCCGGCCTACGAGCGGCGACACGCTAAGCGGCATCACCGCGGCTGGGGCGCAACTGGCGACAAGGCCTGCGACCGCGAATAGCTCGGAAGCCCTGAAACCCCCCCCAACCTTTTTGAAGGTTCACTAGGGTACTTGGAAGTAGGGTTAGAAGCGCCCTGAAAGAGGCTATAAGCATAGTTACCCTACTCACAGCCCTACAAACAAGTACCCATGAACCTCCAAGTAAGCCACCCATACGAAGACACCCAAGAATTCGACTCTGAAAGCTTTAAACTCAACCTCCCAAACCTTTAACCCTGCGGCCCTTAAAGCCTTAATCCCTCAACCACAGGCCTAACCCTAAACCCGAAACCCGAAACCCTAAACCCTAAACCCTAAACCCTAAACCCTGAACCCTAAACCCTAAGCAGCCTTCAGATCCTGGGAAAACCCATGGGGCCTCTCGGGAGACCTCTTGGCGAATTGTTCGTTCTTTTTCAGGGGCTTCGGGCTTGGGTTTTTGGGGTTTTTGGGTTGAGGGTTTTAGGGTCCAGGGTCTAGGGTCTAGGGTTTAGGGTTTAGGGTTCAGGCTTGAGGGTTGAGGGTTGAGGGTTGAGGGTTTAGGGTTTAGGGTTTAGGGTTTAGGGTTAGGGCTTTGGCATAAGCACGAACCCCAAAGCCTCGGTACGGCTTCCTTTCGGGGTTCATGCCACTTCCGGACTCATCAACCCAGCACCCCTTGATTTAGGAGCTCGTTCTGCAAATGGGCATGTCCCCAAATAGGGGTACCCTGATATACCCCCAAACTGTATAATCCCTGTCACTCCTACGCAACATTCCTTGAATCACATTGTCACATTGAGGACTCTCTTCCAGACTTAGGAGGCGTCCATACTCAAGGGCTCTCAAGTACTCTGGGGAGGGGGGGCGCCTGCGATGACAGCATTTGTGAGCTCCGGCACCTGCCACGAGTAGGCGGGGATTTGCTACATCCCTGAACCCTAAACCCTAAATCCTAAACCCTGATCCCTTCAAGCCCATACCGCAAAGTGGCTCACCTGAAATCCTAGCCCTTGCACCCTGACACTCTAAGAAAGCACTTAAACCCGCGAACCCCGCAGTCCTAAGTCTTCAATCTCAAACCCCGGTTTGGCTCAGCGTCGATTAAGGTTTAGGGTTTTAAGGGTTCAGGATCTGGAGCTGAGGGGTGTAGCCGAGACAAGACCGTACGCCTTCAAGGCAGGCCTAAGCCCAAAATACCCGGACCCCCCAAAGATTTGTTAGGTTTAGCTTTAACCTTTAACCCTCCCGAAAAAATCCACTTCTGACTCTCGCCAAGAAGGGATCAGGTTTTTCGGCCCGGCTTGGGCTTCAAGGGGTAAGGTTTAGGGGGCTGTCAGGGTTCTAGGGTTCTAGGGTTGGAGGGTTTGGGGGTTTAGGGTATCGGTGCCAAATGTCAGTCGGGCAAATCCAGAAAAAAAAGAAAAAACTCACCTGTGGAGTGATTGCATGGCGTTTTCGAATGTAAACCGCCGAGCCCAGCGTCGGCACCGAAACAAAAGCCGACCAGGGTGGCCTGCCCTAAGTCCCAAGTAAGACGTGTCAAGGGTGATAGCTGATCACAAGTAGGTGCCTGAAATACGGTTATATCCGAACTAGAACGAAAACCTGCCCTACTTAACCTACTTGTAGCTACCCAGGAACAAAAAGGCAAGCCCTAAGCCTCAAACCCTAAACCCTAAACCTTATGTAGAACCCCGCCCAGTCGACCCTAAGCGCTGTGCGTACACCCTAAACCCTAAACCCTAAACCCTAAACCCTAAACCCTAAACCCTAAACCCTAAACCCCACACCCAAGCCCTTCGCTAGGGTTCCGACGCGAACCACTGTCGAGCGAGTGTAGAGCATGGAGAAGACCATGCCTTCACACCCGCCACTTGAAGGTGGAGGCTTTGGGGTTTGGAGCCATTTTCGGGTTCAGGGGTTTGGGTTTCGGGGTTTTGGTTTCGGGATTCGGGTTTAGGGCTTGGGGCTTTTGAGCTTTTGGACTTGAAGTTGTCAGTGAAACTGGTGGCGGCGAAACAGGTGGGGAGGTTTGGGATCTTTTTCGGGGTCTCGGGGGTGTAGCGCCGCGCAAACCCTGAACCCCAACACCCCCTGCGCCTTTGTTGGTTTTCACCGAGATCTTTGGGGCTTCTGTGGCTTGTTCTTCTATCATCCGCTGCTCCCCTCAAAGCCACAAAAACATCTCCGAATATCCCTTCATGTGGCCGCTGTCTAGGGTTTGTATAAGGGTTCTTAAACTTCGGGGTTCTTAAGTTCAAGTGGTGGGCTTTCGAATCAAAGGTTTAGGGCGCAGGGGGTTAAGGTAGTTTGGGATTGTGGGCTCCGAGGTTCAAGTGCAGAACCTCGCTGAAAAAAGCCTCGGATCCTAGCTTTTCCAACTTCGTGCAGCCCTGTAGCCTAGTACCCTGGACCCGTCCCTGGCCTCCAACCCCGCCCCCGGCGGCAGCAAGCAGCGTCGTAGCCGAGGCATGTGCAACGACAAGGTCCGCCCTGGAGCGTTGCCCAGGGTTTGAAGCTCTTTCCGATCGCACGTGGGTAAAGGTCTACATGGGCAGGGGTGAGAGTCAGGATCTGAAAAGTTGCCTTCTGCCCAAAACCTAAACCTTCCCCCAAGCGTTGCTGAGGGCTTGGGGTTTGGGACCTTGCAACTGTCAGGATACTGAGGCTCTTTCATGAGGGAACCCTCAGCGACAAGGAATTGTTGCACGATACTGCAGACCCAAACAAGGGGCCATTCAGATTGCCAACAAAGACGGCCACGAGCCTTCAATCAAGCAGAAGCTGCTGAAGAAACCCAATCACAAGTATGCTCATAACAACCTCTGCTTTGACACCCCAACAACACCCCCCTCACTCAGCTCCCACATTCCCAATGCTAGAACAGCGTTCACTTCCACTTGGGGCCCTTGTGCCTGGATCAGTTACGTAAGTCAGGGGTTTAGGTCAGAGGTGAGGGCTAATATTTGGGGTTCCGGGTTTCGGGTTTAGAGTTGAGGGTCTTCCTTGGGAAAAACTTGGTGTTGCAGTACATGACCCATGGCCGAGGCGTGCAGACCAAGTAGAGTAGCAGACCGGGATGGCACTCGGAAGCCCAACCCACTGGCCAAGCGGCCCCAGCGTGGTCTTGAACGTTGAAGCCGGGTTGAAGGCCAGAAATCCGACCAGAAGGAGGAACGTACCTCGGAGTTCTTGGTAACTTACTAAGCTCCAGACCGGCACACCTCGCACCCTAAACCTACTTGAATGTTCACGGGCACTTCTACATAGGATTGGACGCAGGTAGCTCTTGCTACAGGTGGGCTCTAAGACCTAGCCCTGAACAATAAGCCAGAAACCTCTGAACTCTAAACCCTTGAAGCGGAGGCCTCTTTCTCCTGAGGGTGCCCTCAAGCTGAGCAGGGTTTAGGGCCTTAGGCCTTAGGCCTTAGGCCTTAGGCCTTAGGGTTTAGGGTTTAGGGTTTAGGGTTTAGGGTTTAGGGTTTAGGGTTTAGGGTTTAGGGTTTAGGGTTTAGGGTTTAGGTTTAGGGTTTAGGGTTTAGGGTTTAGCCTTGGGGTGCACTGTTTCAGGGCCGAAACCCTGATCACTTGGCGCAGCTACCCTTATCGAAAAGCCTTTCTGGAGGCAACCATAAACAACCCCAAACCAACAATCTCAACCCGGTTTCGGGTTTAGGGTTTAGGGTTTAGGGTTTAGGGTTTAGGGTTTAGGGTTTAGGGTTTAGGGTTTAGGGTTTAGGGTTTAGGGTTTAGGGTTTAGGGTTTAGGGTTTAGGGTTTAGGGCACCGAAGACTGTAGGGTTTAGGGTTTGGGGTCCAAGGTTGTGCTTCAGGGTTTCTTGGGGGACTCAACCCTCAACCCTAAACCCCTAAACCCTGAACCCTGACCCCCTAAACCCTAAACCCTAAACCCTAAACCCTAAACCCTAAACCCTAAACCCCAAAACCCTATGAATGAACGCCGAGAGTCCAAACAGAAGCTGCACGGGGTGTCGGCATTTCCGGAATGGGATGAAAACCTTCTTCTCCACTGCTTCCTCCCAGAGTCGATATGGGATGCGGGCTTTAGGGTTGTCGGCTTTGGGTTGTGGGGTCGGGAAGCTCAGGAACAGGGTGGATGTGTTTGTTGGCTTCGGGGTTTGGCTCGGTACGGGGTTCTTTGGGCTGGCTTGGCTTGGCTCAGGATTGGGTTTAGGGTTTAGGGTTTAGGGTTTAGGATTTAGGATTTAGGGTTTAGGGTTTAGGGTTTAGGGTTTAGGGTTTAGGGTTTAGGGTTTAGGGTTACCCTAAACCCAAAACCCTAAACCCTAAACCCTAGGTGCTGCTTGGCCTGGCCTGGGTCGATTTTTGGCCCCAAAGGTGTAGGCGTTTATTCTCCCAGGCGTTTTGGGCTCCCGCCCGGCCACCCGTTCGTTTTGAGGGGCTGTAGACCCGAAAGCCCTGAACCTGTTCAATGCGAACAGGCATTTAGTGGGGTAGGCCTCATGAAACCTCTAGGGAATATAGGGTTTTGGGCTTAGGGGGAGATGATATTGGTAATCATTGCAGCTCCTGTATCATGTTGCGTGCAAGCAGCATGGGCAAGGGCGCACCAAATCGCTACGAATCTACGTGAAGCTTCGTTGCTCTACGTGTAGTTCCACTTAGAAGTACAGATGCCCCACTTACAACCACAGGTTTTGCTACCCACGAACCCGACTACCGGGCCCCGGACGTCCTTTATAGCAACAGCCCTACTTAGGAGACTGAACTAAGGTTTAGGGTTTTGGGGTTTAGGGCTTGGGTTATCTACAACTACCTACCCTTCTAATCCTAGAGCCGCCGAAATCCAGAAACGACACCAAGCCGAAGCCCGCGAGAAAACGGAGCCGACAGCAACAGCGAAGCGCAAAGCCCTCTAGCCACAGAACTCTGAACCCCGAAAACCCAAACCTAAACCCTAAAACTCCCAAAATCTGAGACAAAAACTCCTTGGGTCTAGGGTCTAGGGTTTCGGGTTTAGGGTCCCTAAACCCTAAACCCTAAACCCTAAACCCTAAACCCTAAACCCTAAACCCTAATCCCTAGGGTTTGGGGTCCCTAAACCTCTGAAGATCTCGGGCCAATCCTCGGGCTCCCTGTAGTAGGCGTCGTCGTGGTTCTCGATCCATAAGAACTTGGAGGGGGGGTGCAGCCGTGGCTTGAGGATTGAGAGCTCTGCTCAGGGTTTAGGGTTTAGGGTTTAGGGTTTAGGGTTTAGGGTTTAGGGTTTAGGGTTTAGGGTTTAGGGTTTAGGGTTTAGGGTTTAGGGTTTAGGGTTTAGGGTTTAGGGTTTAGGGTTTAGGGTTTAGGGTTTAGGGTTTAGGGCTGAAACCCCCTCTCGAAGTCGTAAACCCGACTTACTGTGCAATGAATATCGCCCAAGACTCACGCAAAGCCTACACCCTCAACAGCCCCCCGGTCCACAAACCACAGCAACACCCTACACTCTCAACCCGCAACCCTCAAGCCAACACCCAACACCCTTACTGCACCCTAAAGCTGACAAACCTCCTCGAAATGCCCCAAACCCTACACCACCCACAAGCCTCAAGCCCTGCAAACCCTAAGTCCTAAACCCAAGCCCTGAATAAAAACGCCTCACAAGACCTTGAAGCCTAGCCCTTCCAAGCCATAGCATACTCCAGGGCAAGGGCCCCACCCGAACATAAAACCCTTGCGCACCCTATAAGCCGAAACGTTTAGGTAGCCAGGAAAAAAAGCCCACAGAACCCCTAAACCCCTCGAGGCCCGCAAAACCAAGACCTCTGACCCGAAACCTCTGAACCCCGAACCCCCTAAACCCTAAGCCCCTGACACCCCTCAACCCCCCAAAGACCCTAAGCCCGTAAACCCCGAAACCCCTACGCCCCGAAACCCCGAAACCCCGAAACCCAGAAACCCCGAAACCCCCAAGCCCTAAACCACTTACACCCCCCTAAGCCCCCCCAAAGCTCCCAAACCCCTAAACCCCAAAGCCTCAACCCCCTAAACCCCAAAAATGTCGCGCCAGGACACACTCCAAGGCCGCTTCCAGGCCCTATAAGAGGGGAAGCGGCCGATACGCGGGCCCAGGAAGCCTGGATCGCATGGGAAAACCCAGAAAGGGTTTAGGGTTTTAGGGTTTAGGGTTTAGGGTTTAGGGTTTAGGGTTTAGGGTTTAGGGTTTAGGGTTTAGGGTTTAGGGTTGCGGGTTTAGGGTTTAGGGTTTAGGGCTTGGGCCCCTTATTATCGTAAACCCCCAACTCGAAGGTGTTCATGAGTAGTTATAGCTGAGGTATCATAAGTACGGTATATACTTGTAACAAAACTCTTTATCCTGCTGCTGAGTCCAACGGGCTTAGGGGTTCAGGGTTTTGCTTTAGGGGTTTGATGGTCGCACTGGTCTTTTGAGGGGCTTTCGCGTGTGGCTGGATTCGGGCCTAAAGTCTCGGGAAGGACTTGTTGCGCGAAGCACTACTGCCACTCCAAGTACAGGCTCTTTCATGCCCCTAAACTGAACCCTACATCTAGTCGTTCCTAGCGCGCTGGACCCAAGTCCTATAAACCCTACACCAAAGAAAGTCCTAAACGGCTGCACAAAGCTCCAATGCCCTTCGAACGCCTGGCACCTGACCTACTTTGCCTGGACCAGTTTTGAAAGCCCCTAAACTTTAAACCCGAACCTGAACTCCTCAATCCCAAGCTCTAAGCCAGCCCAAATCCGGCAAAGCCTTCACGAACATTTGAAGTCTTAAGTATGGTTATGAGAACCCAAACAACGGCAACAACCAGCTGTAGCAACCAGCATTATTGTAATCATCAGAACAAGAATAAACGTAATCATAATAACAATAACAATGACAACAAATACAAAACATAACAGTAATGACAACATTATTCAGAACAATGGATAGCACATAATGTTAAAAATTGACCGTTAATCATTCATGAGAATAATTCACAGTAAGGACAGGACAAAACTTTAAGACATCAATAAAGACAATCATGCAGAATAATTCATGGTAAATAACATCTAGGGCTTTACATGAACATTGAATAGTGAATAACTTAAGGAGCTCAAAATGAAGGCAAAATCGTAGGTAAGGCATAACAAGCCGAAATCAAGCCCAATAATCCCTCAACCCATACACCCCCAAAAGAAGCTCAATGAATGACTGAAACCCAAACCCCCTGAACCCCTCCCCAAGGTTAAGTGTCGAGGAATTGGGGTTTCCGGTTTAGGGTTTACCGGAGCTCCTGCTCTTCAACCTCTTGGCCTGGCAGACCCCTTCTTCACCCGAGGCGCAGGTGGAAACCAGGGCAGAGATTGCACCGACCTCCCATCTCCGAGAAGGGCTTGGGGGTTTCGGGCTTAGGGTTGAGGATTTCGGGATAGGAGTTTCGGAGGTAGGGATAGGAGATTAGGTGTGGGTTTGGGGTTATAAGTTTAGAGCTTCTTGCTTAAAGTGTGCAGGTTTCAGTTTGTTGCTTGTGCTGCTCTTGCGTTTCTTCTTGGGGGGGAGGGGGTGGGGCGTTTGCGGGTTTGGGTTTCTTTTGGTTCAGATCCCAAGCAAGCCAGCAAGCAAGCAAGCAAGCAAGCCAGCAAGCAAGCAAAGCAAGGTCTAGGGTGTAGGGTCCATACAGCTGGGGATGACTCCTCAGACGACCCGACAGGCAAACTCAGCTTCGCTGGTCTCCAAAGGAACCCTCAACCCTCAACCCGAAACCCTCAACCCTAAACCCTAAACCCTAAACCCTAAACCCTAAACCCTAAACCCTAAACCCTAAACCCCACTAAGCGGCCTGGTGAACCACCACCGAGCCCGCGAAGTCAACGAAGCCGAGCTCTTGTAACCAGCCGTTGCCCCAGGCGAGGTATGCACAGATCCTCATTTTGGCTGTTGTGTTCCTAAACCCTAAACCCTAAACTGATGAAAAATCCTTGTTGTGTAGATCTCCTCTTCCCCGAAATCTTCATCCGCCTGACTGAAGCCTCTAAGCCAAGGTTAGAATATTTCCTGATTATTATCCTATTCACCGCAAACACACAATATGGATTGCCTATATCAATAAGATGAAGGCTATTTGACAAAATCTTTATCTTATATGATCTAAAAACCTTGAACCGTACGTCCTATTTGTTTAACTATTTGATCAAATAGCCTTGAGATATGTGTCCAAATGGAAGTGAAAGACTTGATATCGACCTTTTGGGGGGTAAGAAAACGCCACGCATTGTACCGTGTTTTCTCGAATAAACCTCTACAGAACCTCTAAAGTCTTTTCGGCATGTTTGCCTGCGACTCACTGTGCATGCATGCTTTCTCATTCGAGACCTTGCCAGGAAAATAGTGACCCCACACTCCAACCCTAAAGCCTGAACCCTAAACCCTAAACCCTACGCCCTAAACCCTAAACCCTAAACCCTAAACCCCGAATGCCTGGGTTCAGCTCCCAGCAGCTTCTTTAGGGGTTTAGGGTATCCGGGTTGGCGCGCCGCCACAAGTGGGCCAGCTACCTTGACTTGATGATCTCGAGGATTGTGATTTCCATGGCTTGGTTCAAGGTTTGGGGTTTGGGGTTTAGGGTTTAGGGTTTAGGGTTCAGGGTTCAGGGTTCAGGGTTTAGGGTTTACGGTTCGGCTTTGGGGTTTATGGCTTGGGGTTTACGGTTGGGGCTGACGGCCAGATCTGGCTTTGGGGAGCCCAAGCATCGGATAGAGGAGCCCCGTCATCACCGTCGACAAGACCTGATGGCCCGACGCCCAGTGGGCAGAAGCGATGAGCTTCAAACCCTAAACCCTGAACCTCTGCCAAAACCCCCGAAACAAAACCCTACGAAACCCGAAACGCTAAAAACACTAAATCCTGAACCCTGAGGCGTAAACCCCTCCCGAAGGCTACAGCAAGGACTATCTTGGACCAGTGGAGCTGAGGGGCGAGGTCATAAGGGTTCGGGTCTAGTGTTCGGGGTTTCGGGTTCAGGGCTTGGGGGTTTGAGGTTTAGGGTTTGGGCTCTGAGGTTTAGGGTGTAAGGTTTTAGGGCTGAGGGCTTAGGGATTAAGGGGTATGATGCACGAGGCTATCTTCACTGAATCCAAAGACTCCCGTAGGGCTACCAAGATAAAAACACACTAAGCACCCAACAACTTAAGACCCCGGAGAAACCCTAAACCAGCCCGTGAAAACAAGTATAACTTGTAGAACCCTAGAGTCCCTAAAGAAGCACCTACAACCCCCCTCAGCTGCCTTAGAGTACAGGTTAAGAGTTAGTCCCGCCTTGAGGGGGTTGAGGTGACATGCGAGGCAGGGGTGTGAGGCTGTAGTCTCGGGCGCGTGTTTGCTACCAGTAGGTCTCTCGTGTGCGTGCTTGCGTTTTGTGTGTGAGCTGTTCAAGGGTCTTTGTTAAGGGGCCAACTGGTTCTGAGGCCTTGTCGGGTTCTAGGGCTTAGGGTGTTAAACTGGTCTAAAGGGCTCAGAGTTTGAGAGTCTGGGTTCAAGTGCTGAGGGCTTTTGGGGGTTTGGGAAAAGTCTGCTGCGTGCGAGGCCACGAGGTAGGGGAAGAAGGCCACGCGCCCTGCGAGAGCACCACTGTTGATGGTCGCGGCGGTGGTAGCATAGGAAAACCTCATGGCGAAAGCAACCTAAGAACCCTAAACAACCCTACACCCCAACCCTAAACCCGAAAACCCTCAACTTGAACCCTAAACCTCCATGAGCCCCCTATAAACGCCAAAGATCCCAGATACCCAGCACCAAAAGCCGCGGCTGTCAGCTCGGGCAGCTCATTGGTTTGGGGTTTCATTGGGGGGCGGTGTACTTTTGAGGTCGATAGGGTTGAGGGTGCTAAGCTACACCTGCAAGGTCACCGCTTTCATCTTTCAAAGCCCTAAAACAAGGCCAAACCCTGAGAGGGGAGATTCGCGCGACCCCCAAGCCCGCGAACGCTGACAGGCCTAAGAATCTTCTTCGACAAGGAGGAACTCTTGCTTTGGGGTTTAGGGCTCGAGAATTTAAGGTTTTGGTTTTCCGGTTGGGGGGGGGGGGCGGTGGTTCTGCTTCCTCGTTGGGGCTATATTTGAATGGATCATTGTATTCCTTATTGAGAACTTAATTTGACACAAATGCAAAATTATAACCTGCGGCCGCGCCGCGTGCAAAAAAAGTGCGCCAGGTCGGTACCCGCATCGCCCAGGCCTCACCAAAGAAGGAAGCAGATTCGAATTGAGGTAGGGTTTAGGGTTTTGGGTTTTGGGTTTTTAGTTCAGGGTTTAGGGTTTAGGGTTTACTTGGAGGTTCAGGGGTACTTTGTAAGTAGGGTTGAAAGCATCTGTGTCCTAATTTATTGGGGTTGCAACCATAGTTGCCCTACTTCTAGCCCGACTTGCAAGTACACATGAACCTCCAAGTAGGACCTGGAAGCTGGGGGGGAGACAATTGACACGTAACAGAAACTTCACCCTGTGTTGGGGAGTCGTGCACTGGAGCTGTCTGCAGAGAGAGTTTAGGGTTTAGGGTTTAGGGTTTGGGGTTTAGGGTTTAGGGTTTAGGGTTCAGGGTTCAGGGGGGTGTGGGTGCCTAGAAGCAAGTACCCTCAACCCCCGAGACCCCGAACCCCAAACCATCAACCAGGGCCGCAAAAGTAGGTGCTTGGGTCCCACGGCTACCCGGCTACCCGAAAGCGTGAACCACAACTGAAGGGTTCAATCCTCATGGTTCGGGGTTGATTGGATTGTTGAGGCTTGAGGGGTTTAAACCCTAAACCCTAAACCCTAAACCCTAAACCCTAGACCCTAAACCCTAAACCCTAAACCCTAAACCCTAAACCCTAAACCGGTCTTGGGCTTGGAGGTTGAGGTTTGGGGCATGCCCTGGGGGCTTCACGGCACCCAGGCGAGCCGGGCCGCCCGTCAAGGTATGCGTGTCGTGGTAAGCGATGTAGTATCCGAATAGGAAGAAGGCCAGCACGCCTCAGGATTCCCAAACTCTGAGATGATGTTTAGGGTTTTTTAGGGCTTTTTGGGGTTGAGGGTTTAGGGGTTTAGGGGTTTTGGGGGTTTTGGGGTTTTGGGGTTTAGGGGTTTGCAGCTGCAGGGGCTTCACAGCTTCACAGCTTCAGGGCTTCAACTCTTTCCCAGGGTCTGGGGCTTACGGGGGAGCCCGGTCACTGGGTTCAAGCGGCCGAGCCACCGATGCACAGATCGAGCATGTTCTTCATCATGATGTTCGCAGCATTGTTTGGCTGCTGATATGCTGACCTTGCGTTTGCACTGGTTGAACATGCGGCGCCTCTTGAGAACTGATTCCGCACTAACTAACTAAGCATCCGATGTGGGTTCAGGGGTGTGTCGGACGTTCCGGAGTTTGGTTCATCAGATCCCGAACCCTGATTCCTGAACCAACCCAATACCCGAAGCGTGTGCGACATCACGAGGTAACTTGCAAGATTGCGTAAAGCCCTAGGTTACAGCAACCTCCACAAGGCCACATGGGGGGGGGGGTTTGGGGCCTCGGTCCTGGGGCTCGAAAAAGAAGATGCGGAATAAGCCTTCATTTAAAACCAAAAAAGCCTCATTAAGGTGTAAAGCACATTGCCCAAGTACAGGGTGTGTTTGTAGGGCGTTGGGTCTTGGGCGTTTTTGAGGGGGGTGAAAGCATCAGGAGGCCGCGCGGCTCGAGCATTGCGAAGCCGCTTTGCATCTGCACGATGCGCGCGGCGCACGTCAGCACGAAACTGCCAAGCAAGGAGGCGTGTAGGGTCTTGGAGGTATCGGCTGTGGGTACAAGGCTACAAGGTCGAGTCCTGCACCTAAACCCTAAACCCAAGATTCTGCAATCCTAGACTCAACATCCTGAACGTCGGATTATAATAATAAACCCCTCGAACTTCCTACAAGCCCAACCCGAAGCCCCAATCCTTCCCAAAAACCGGGAAGGTGCAGAGGGACGAGAAACTGCGAGAGCCCACAGCAGAGCAGCGGCAAGCGCTCTGCTGGACTTACAGCGAGGCTGAGGGGTTCACTTCCATCGGGCGAGAGACCCCGAACCACACAGAAAGAGTGGCGTAAATGCAGCATGGGGCTTCCTAGCTCCTCAGAATATGGCCCTGGAATGACACACCTTAAACCCTAAACCCGAAAACCCCGACCGACCCTCTTGCCCGGAACCGCTGAACCTTAAAACCCTACATTACAGCTTCAGCACCCCTTTTGTCTGGGGTTGACTCCCATTCAGAAGCGCATCCCCACATCCCCGAACCCCACATGGTCCTTGACATTCTACTATAAAGGACACCTCCAAAAACAGGAAGAAACAGGACCCATGCACCCGTGATAGGCCGCAAGGCACCACAACAAGCAACGAAAGAAGGCATCACCTCAAGGCTTTAGGAAGGCTTGGCGGGGCTAGTACCCGGACCTCGGACCCAAGTCCCCAAAAACGGTAGGGTTTAGGGTTTAGGGTTTAGGGTTTAGGGTTTAGGGTTTAGGGTTTAGGGTTTGGGTTTTGGGTTTAGGGTTTAGGGTTTAGGGTTTAGGGTTTAGGGTTTAGGGTTTAGGGTTTAGGGTTTAGGGTTAGGTTTAGGGTTTAGGGTTTAGGGTTTAGGGTTTAGGGTTTAGGGTTTAGGGTTTAGGGTTTAGGGTTTAGGGTTTAGGGTTTAGGGTTTAGGGTTTAGGGTTTAGGGTTTAGGGTTTAGGGTTTAGGGTTTAGGTGTAGGGTTTAGGGTTTAGGGTTTAGGGTTTAGGGTTTAGGGTTTAGGGTTTAGGGTTTAGGGTTTAGGGTTTAGGGTTTAGGGTTTAGGGTTTAGGGTTTAGGGTTTAGGGTTTATAGAAATTGTTCCGGTTTTGTGTCCGGAGTTTTTGGGGGGGTTTTGTCGGGTGTTGTCGGGTTTTGGGGGGTTTTGTATTTTAACTTTTTGCTACTTCGCTTTTGGTTTTTTTGGGGGGGACTTGGTTGGGGGGGGCGGGGAGTGGGGGGGGCCTCGGCTGGCAGGCTGGGGATAGAAATTGTATAGGGTTTGTGTCCGCGGTTTTGGGGGGTTTTGTCGGATTTTGCCGGGTTTTGTTTTTTGCTTGGGGGCTGGGGCTGGGGCTGGGGCTGGGGCTGAGGCTGGGGCTGGGGCTGGACCTGGACCTGGACCTGGGGCTGGGGCTGGGGCTGGGGCACACGCAGTTGTGTGGGGTTTGGGCCTGCGGCTGGGGCTGGCTGGGGCTGGGGCAAGGGCCTGGGTTGGGGCTGGGGCTGGGGGTTCGGCCTTCTGGGGTGGATTATTGCACGAGCTACTCGAAATGAAACGCATACAATTTCTATTTATCCTGGTCTTGAGGGTTTAGGGTTTAGGGTTTAGGGTTTAGGGTTTAGGGTTTAGGGTTTAGGGTTTAGGGCTTAGGGCTTAGGGTTTAGGGTTTGGGGTTTAGGGTTTAGGGTTTTGGGTTAGGGTTTAGGGTTTAGGGTTTAGGGTTTAGGGTTTAGGGTTTAGGGTTTAGGGTTTAGGGTTTAGGGTTTAGGGTTTAGGGTTTAGGGTTTGCTCCGAGGCACATGACATCTGCTCGGTGCTGCCCACGCTCGATCTTACATTCGTCAGGTGCGTTGAACGTCATCTCCGCTATCCACCTAGGCAACTGCAGACCATTTGGGGCTCAGGCGAACCCGACCCCCTGAACAACAACGAACCAAGCGCTGAATTTACATGCCTGGAAATCTTCTCGCACAATATATATATATATATATATATATATACACTACATATATATATATGTGTATATAGACACAGAAAGGTGTACAATCAAGTCTTACGAACAAAGCATGGCCTCTCATCCGGCAGCAGGCCCGTCAAATTCAGGCCCGGAATATTCATCGCCATTGCTGTCACTCGCGCGCCCGGTGCGTGGTTTTCCCGCACGCCCGCCCACCGCGAGGAGGGAAGAAACAGCACTGAGCCCCGGCCGACGGAGAGTGGGGACATCTGGGGTTTCGGGTTTAGGGTTTGGGGTTTAGGGCTTAGGGCTTAGGGCTTAGGGCTTAGGGCTTAGGGCTTAGGGCTTAGGGCTTAGGGCTGAGCTCGGCGCGTGCAGCGCTGGGTTTGAGGTTTAGAGTTTAGGGTTCAGGGTTTAGGGTTCAGGGTTTTCAAGGGTTTAGGGTTTAGGGTTTAGGGTTCGCAGCCAAGGTGAGTTCTGGCTGGGGGATGATTGTCGCAGCAGGATCGTACCGCATGAGGAAGTCGAAGCTACCCAATACAGTCTCCCAAAGCATACCAAAAGAGCAACCACTTTCATACGACATGTCTACGGAGAGTTCGGACTTGCGGACTGATCTGCAGGGCTTGCTTTTTTCTTCATTGTCTTCTTCGAGTGGGCTGGTCATTCACTGGTCATCAAGGACGACCGAAGGCAACAGTAACTAAAATCCATGATCTCTTGCAAGGAGCGCAGCGCGCCACGGACATGTACAACTCACAAAGCACATCCGAGAAAGCAGAACCCCGAAGAGTGAAACCTTTAAAAAGATACATTATTTAATTAATTAATCAATTAATCAATTAATTAATTCATCAATTAATTAAAAAAAAACCTTAGTTACAATGTCATAAAACAAACCCTTTTGCCTAAAAGCCCTAAAACGAAAACACTAATCATATGTATATGTATATGTATTTATTTATTTACTTACTTATATATAAATACATATAGTGTGACAGAGGCTTTCTCGGATCCACAGGGCCGGCGGCGGTCGCGCACCAAATTACAAATCGATATCTCCCGCGAGCGGTCTGGGAGAACACCTCCTACTGCTGTACTCCCTTACTTTCTTGGAGTTTTTTCCCCTCCTGCACAGCTGGGGCGGTGTAGGGTTTTCTGGACGGATTTTCGCCAATTTGGCGAAGGCCCACGGCCAAAGAAGCGGGGGTGTCGCGACAAGAACCCCAGGAGTCGCAGCCTTCCGGGGCTTGGGTTGCACTGGAAGGCAGCTGGGGAGATTAGAATGGGATTTCGGGCCCTTTGTCCTTCTAATCCTAACGCCTCAGGGGTCCTTGATAAATGAGGTGCATTGGAACGGGGCGATGGTGGCACAAAACGGTCGATGGCAGACGCTTCTAGGACCACGCAGCAAACATCCAAGACGTACTGGGGAACAAGATGCGAAGTTCCAACCCTATCCCAAATCCCTAGGAAGCAGAAACGGTGTCCATGGTCCGCCGTCGACCGGAGGCCATGATGGGCAACGGTGCAGGGGGCCAATGGCAGCTGACAATGTCTTGGCTGTATAAGGTTTAGTCCTTCGGAGATGTGAGGGGGGTCAATCCCAAGTAGAAGCGAATTAGGGTTTGCATAGGGTTTAGGGTTTAGGGTTTAGGGTTTTGGGATCTAGAACTGCCCAGCAGCCCTGCCCGAGGTACCCTTTACAACTTCGGCGCCCCTTGGAACGAGATTTCCCGCAATGCACGCGCAAAGCACGAGGCCCTCCAAGGACTCCAGGCTCCGTACTCCCAGGACTCAACCCCTACAGCGCCTGCCGTCGGTTTTCATAATTCAGTACCCCGAAACCCTAAACCCTAAACCCTAAACCCCAAACCCTAAACCCTAAACCCTAAACCCTAAACCCCAAACCCGTCGAGCCTAAGGAAGGCCCTGGAAGGCCACGCTCAAGAGATAGGGCAGCTCCTTTGCTACCCTCAGACAAGGGCGTCCAGAATCGGCCAACAACAGTCTACCATTTGCTTAAGAAACACCCCCCCCCCCCCCCCGCCCCAAAAAAAAAAATATAATCCCTATATTACCCTTATAAGGAAGAAAATGTTTCCATTCTTTGGGCGGCTCTTAAGCAACTGGTGGAATAGTGCAGCGCCAGTCTGGTGATTCCATAGCGGCGTGGAAAATGAACGCACCAGAAAAGAGAAAAACAACAAGCTACCAAGCCTGGAGGCTCCTCTTGGGAAGACCTCGCCTTTTTCAGGTCAGGCGCGGCTGAAACAACAACGCGCAAGTAACCCCCTAAACATCCCTGAGCCCCATGTACCCCCCGATAGCCCCCAGGCTTGAAAGCTCAAGTGCCGCCGTGAAGCCTACATTAGGCTTCAGATGGACGGCGCCCCGGCATCAGCGCCTTCTCTCTCCGAAAGCTCCCCTGTAGCCTCCTCCTCCTTCGCCTCTTTAAGGGCCTCCTTGGCTGCCTCCTCATCCAGCACGCGCCACTTCTCAAGCATCTTCGCGAGCTGCTTCTTGGCCCGCCAGATCATCAGGGAGACGAGCATGGTGGCCAGAATCCAGTAGAAGATGTAGGCGAAGATCTCAATGGGAGTGGCCTGGTCCTGCCAGCCGAAGATGGCCCGCATGAGGACAAAGAAGCGGTTGGTCTTGTCGTTGCAGCAGTCCGTGGCGTCCCAAACGTTCACGTTCTGCCAGGGCCTCTCGCTTCGCGGGCTCCAGACGCCAAAGACATCCAGCTCCTGCAGCTGGTGCATGGAGGAGGAAAAGAAGCCGGCTGCGATGCTCATGAGCAGCACAGCCGAGATGCGCATGAACCAGTCGACCTTCAAGCCCTTGGTCCCCTGGAAGAAGATGCAGCCAACGACGCGGGCCAGGACGAGTGCGGTGATGATGGGCAGCGGCAGGGAGCTGAGATCCTTGACATCCGAGATGACGCCCACCAGGAAGACGATGGACTCGAGGCCTTCCCGCAGCCCGGTCGTGAAGGCCAGGACGAAGAAGGCGTGCTTCCTACCAAAGCCCACCTCGTCTCCGGACTCCGCGGCGCGGGACGCCTCGAGCGTCTCCTCCATCTGCTTCTTCATCTTTCGCTCATGCGCCTCCTTCGTGTAGATCATCTTGTAGAAGTTCACGGCAAGGAAGGTCAGAACCACGCAGGTGAGGCTCATCATGCAGAACTGGAAGATGCGCTCGTTGTCGCCCTCGAAGAGCTGGTAGGTCAAGGAGGCGAGGGCCAAGAAGCCCACTCCAAAGAGCAAGCAGACGGCGAAGCCCAGGCTTGCGCCCACGTAGACCTCCCGCCGGAACTTGTAGAACAGCTTCTGCTCGAGAAGCCCATCATTCTTCATCTTGGTCAGGAACTGCATGATGATCGCAAGCACGATGACTACCTCCAAGCTCTCGCGGAAGAGGACGACGAAGGCCGGCACGGAGAAATAGATGTTGGCCGACTCCAACCTTGGAGCGGCCACCGTGACGTTGTCGCGAAGGCCGGTCGCCTCATCGACACAGTCGCACACCTGGATCCAGTCGACATGGCCGTAGATCTCTGCGCACTGCATGTTCGTGAGGCCCGCGTGGCAAGCCTCATCCTCCTCGTCGTAGCAGCCCCACTGGCAGATCTTGCCGGTGGTGTTTGGCATGGCCTTGGCCAGGCCAAGCACTGCGGCAAGCAGGAGAGCACGAGTGGAGGACATGGCAGGCGCGGGCCTTTTGGAGTTCGACGCCTGGTCTTTTGGGGGAGAGTTCGACGCTTGAGCCTTACGCTGAAAATCGCTACGCTTTTCGGTCGTGGGAGAGAGGCGCCATGAACCGACAAAATCTTAAAGACCAACAGATACAAGCGATGTGACACCTCTAGTGGGTCGGGACAATACATGTCGCGACCCCTAGCCCACATACATTACAAAGGCCGGTGGTCTCTTTATCTGTTATCCTTATACCTTAACATAACCCCTAGATACCCTAAAAAGAACCCCCTACAAAATAGAAACCCCCACTTAACGAGACTCAGGGTTTAGGGTTTAGGGCTTAGGCAAAGTCCTGGGCTTGGGTAAGAAACTTTCGGGAGTTGTGCTTTGGTTTCGACGGGCCTGGCTTACTTGGATGCTTCACTCATGTTTAGGGGCCCCTTACGAGGACTCACATGTCAAGAAATGGCCCTAAACCTTAAGTTCACGATTGGGTGTATCCCTTTGGGTCTGGGTTTTGGATAAAGGCGCCGAATGAACGAATGCACTTGACGCATTGTTCTGTGCACAGTGGGAGGCGCCTGTAAGTGTGGGGCTTAGGATTTAGGACAGCTAGGCGAGAACATTATGCCCTAAAAACCCAGACCCTGGACTTTAGAACCCGCAAAAACCCTTAGATCGACCTCTCAAATCCCAAGAACAGGAGCTGGCGTGCATTGTCTGCCGCAAAGCATGTCGATCTCAGCCGGCACGGGACGTGCTGCAACATATGTAAAGTGAAGGTGAGACCACACCCCTTTCACCAGCCTACAACCCCAACGAGACCCCATCACAGTCAAGGGTGGGAAGGCACACTGCGAGAGCCCTAAACCCCAAGACCTCAACCCAAATGTAGTGGATATGAGGGAGCAATGCATAAACGCCCTTTTCGGGTGTTACAGGCCTATATGGGATGTCAGGCACCCCATTCGCGAATTTTCTACGAAGAACTGGTAAGAAAGGCGAATCTGAACACGAAACCCCTGCTAAAGGCGGGTGCCACGAATTTCCGCAGCTTCCCAAGTCCCGACCTCTGGCGGCGGCTTCAAGGCTCAGCCCCTTTTACTTCGGTCTTTGAGGGTTTAGGTCTTGGGCTGCATGATTGTCAGGATTTATGGGGGGGGGGGGGGGCCGGGGCTCTGTAGAGTTTAGGGTCTAGTAAAACCTAAACCCTACACTAGCCCAAAAGAAGGCTAACCTTTTATATAGAGTGGGATTCTATCGAACCAAAAACGCTAAACGCTACCCACCCAGGGGAGTTGATAGTGTCAGGGGAGCATGTCATGGCCAGTCCTGGATGGCCCACGTCTCAGCCCGTGTTGCTAGCCTACAAATTCACCCTACAAAGCCTATAAGCCCTGTATGCTCATATAAACCCCGTAAGCCCTATAAACCCCATGGACCCTAGAAACCCTGTAAACCCTTCAAACCTCACCCTAAACCCTGAAACCTCAGCCCCCAGGAGTAGGAGTTGCTCACAGGGATTGTTGGGGCGTGCGGGGCGCGTTAGGGCTTAGGGGGTTAGGGGTGAATTCAGGACTTCTAAAGCCCGTTTGAGGATTGGGGGTTGGGGTTCAGGGGTGGGAGTCGCAACAGGTGCTGCAAAGTTACGCTGAGTTTAGGGCTGAGGGAGCTACATGCTATCACCTAAGAAACCCTAAACCCCAACAACCAAAACAAGTGTGAGATCTTCTCGCCGAGGTATGAACGGCCTGGAAGATAGAGGAACGGGACCCCACACCCGGCTTAGAAATGCAAGGAGCTTTATTTCTAGGATTGCGTTTTTTGGGCCAGCTATATGGTTCGTATGCCCAGCGGCTACTCCACCACAATGTGGTGGATACCCACGTTAGCAAATTTGTCTCTAAGTTGCGAATATAGCTGCGACAGTTTGGGCCCAATTGCGGCGCCTTCAGCGGCAAAATGCCCGTTTAAGCAGGCGCACACTCAAGGAATGGAATGATGTGATCGGAACTATCTTCCCGAAGGGGAGGATCATGGGCACCCTTCAGTGACAGGCGTTCACGTGTGCATACAAACCGCAACAACGTAGCCACCAAGTACAGTGCAAGGCTAACTCCGCGGCTAAGTAGAAACCGCAAGACCTTCAAGGCGAGACTCACATCAGCAAAAGGGTTTACGGTTAGGGTTTAGGGTTTAGGGTTTAGGGTTGAGGGTTTCGGGTCTAGGGTTTAGGGTTCAGGGTTTAGGGTTTAGGGTTTAGGGTTTAGGGTTTAGGGTCTAGGGTCTAGGGTTTAGGGTTTAGGGTTTAGGGTTTAGGGTTTAGGGTTTAGGGTTTAGGGTTTAGCCCTAAACTCCCAAATTAACCCTCAGGCCCCTAAACTCCCAAACTAACCCTAAAAACCCTAAACTCCCACATTCCCAGGCCTCCACCCCTAAATACTGAACCCCAAACCCCCACATCCCCCGACCGCGCCTAGTGCATCTGCATTCCTTCTGAGCTGTGCTCCGCATAGTTGAACTCAGGGCGGGACTGTGGAGTTGTTGGGGTTTAGGGTTTAAAGTTTAGGGTTTAGGGCTCAGGGTTCAGGGTTCAGGGTTCAGGGTTCAGGGTTTAGGGTTTAGGGTTTAGGGTTTGGGGTCTAGGGCTTAGGCTTTAAGATTCAGGGTTTAGGGTTGAGGGCTTAGCTTCAGGGACTCTAAACCTTAAAAACCTAAACTACATGAAGCCTCCCTCGTTTCGGCCAGCTCGCGGCACTAAAGGCCCGCATGGCCCACCATGTGTGAAAGCCTGCGGGTTTCTTCAGTTTGAACCTAAGCCCTAAGCCCTAAACCCTAAACCCTAAACCCTAAACCCTACACCCTAAACCCTAAACCCTAAACCCTAAACCCTAAACCCTGGAGATCCAAACCCTAAACCCCAAACCCTAGAAAATCCCCAGCTGAACTTGTTGTGTCCCTTCACCCGGGTGTCGCGACGCCCCTCTGTCTGTGAGGTGTATTGAAAGTTCCCAAAAGACATCTGTTCTGCCATCCGGGGCATTGATGGAAATCTTGCCCTCAAAGGGGGCGAGGGAGGCAATCGCAACCTGAAGCCACAACCCTTGAACCCTTGAACCGTAAACCCTAAACCCGAACAAACCCTAGCAAGCCGTAATAAGCCCTCTAATCCCCTAAACCCCCCGACCCATAAACCTGAAACCCTTACAAAGATTTGCGAACCCTGGCTGTGCAAGCAAGGACATATCTCGGAGATGCCCTCCTTGGAAAGGCTTAGGGCTTAGGGCTTAGGGCTTAGGGTTTAGTGTTTCAGGCAAGAAGCCTTGTCCAGGATGTCAAGGTAATTCGCCTCGGTTAAGCTGACGAGGAGTACGCCCACAGAGCTTGAGAAGGTTGGGAAACCGCATCTGAAGGTGGAAAGGCTAAAATCCCCAAGGCATTCAGGTTTATGTAGGGTTTAGGGGTTTGAGGTTTTAGGTTCTGGGGGTTAAAATTCCCTGACGCCCCATCTTCCTCAAGATAGGCTGGATTGGGGTCTGAGGGCGGAGAATTCTTTAGTAGGGAACAGTCTGGTTCTACGCATTAGAAATGCTGTGGCCTGAGATAGAAGTGCACCTACATGAGGGTTCAGGGTTTAAGGTTCAAGGTTCAGGGTTAGGCCCGTGCGAACATGGGACCTTAATTGGCCAGCTGCCTTGGGCCCCCGGCATCCGGAGCCCCCTAGACCCTAAACCCTAAACGCTAAACCCGAATCCCTAGGCCTTTGAGTCCTGAGCCCTAAACCCTAAACCCTAAACACAGCGTCTTGAAAGCCGCGCCACGGTAATCCAAAGGATTCCCAGCGCGAGCGCCAGGCCGCAACTCATCCGGTACATCAACCTTCACAGCCCAAGTGGGGGTTTCCGAAATTAGGGGTTTAGGGTTCGGGTTTTGGGTTTAAGGTTTCGGGTTTAGGGCTTAGGGTTTAGGATTCTCATATGGGTGTTCCCGAAACTGAAAATTGGGGGTCTATTCTCGGGGTCCCTTCTTTTCGCAAAGTCCCAAGTGGGTATAGCATTCAGGGTGGAGGGTCGAGGGTTGAGAGTTTGGGGCCCAAGTGGGTGTAGGAGTCAAGGTTGAAGGGTTGAGGGTTGAGGGTTTGGGGGGGTTTAGGATTCTAAACCTTAAACCTTAAGTCAGAAACCCCCCAATGGTAAGCTTAATGTAGGATTTCTGGTTTGGGGGGTGAGGGACCCTGCACGAAGTCTTTTTCCCACATGTGTAACTAATACAACACTAATAGCATGATGCCACTCACTGACTAGGGGCTTTCAGGGTCTCGGGTTTAAGGGTTTAGGGGTTAACCCTAAACCCCAAACCCTAAACCCTAAACCCAAAACCCTGTTACACTCAAGTCTGACAGAACCCCAGGCCTCGGTGAGACCACCTTGGTGATGCTGCTGCGCGTCAGCGCGGCCTGAGGCAGAAGCCCCTGAACTAACCCAGGTTGGTGAGTATTTAGGGTAGGGTTTAGGGTTTAGGGTTTAGGGTTTAGGGTTTAGGGTTTAGGGCTTAGGGTTCAGGGTTTAGGGTTTAGGGTTTAGGGTTTAGGGCTTAGGGGTGCCAAGGCGGATCCCTTCCGCCTTAATGAAAAACACCTCGCCCCCACCCCCTTCTGAAAATTGAATTACAAGCTCTCCGAAGTCTCTGAGTTTAGGGTTTAGGGTTTAGGGTTTAGGGTTTAGGGTTTAGGGTTTAGGGTTTAGGGTTTCGGGTTTAGGGGTGTCGGGCCCCAAGTGTGGGAAGTCTACTCGCCGGGCCTATATTGGAGGGGGGGGGTCGGGGGCGGCGGAGGGTGGGGGTGGGAACTGGCCCAAACCTTAAACTCCTCAAGCCCTGAACCCTAAACCCTCTTGAGCCCCTTAGGCCCTTCAAACCAACAAGCTTAACCCGACCTTTCAGCAGACCCCCCA